ACAGCCCCAAGGCTCACATCATGTGCCTGAGAGTGTTATCTGAGTCCTTCTTGAACTCTGGCAGGGTTGGTACTGTGATTATTTCCCTGGAGAGCCTGTTCCAATGCCCAACCACCCCTGGGGTGATAGAGAACTGACTGTGTCAGCCTTACTATCACAACAGGCTTTCTGCAGTGGCCAGGCTCTCAGCTGGGAGTGACTTATACAGCCAGAGAAGGTGATGGCCATCCACACTTGGATGAGGAGTATTTCTTGCGGTGGACCTTCATGCTGGTGTGGAAAGCTGATAAGAGCATGAAGATACAGCAAAAAAGGAACAGTAAACAGCTGAGAAAGGGAAGTACCTCGAGCCTTTTCAGGAAATTCAAACCTCCAAGGGCAGCAAGGCAGCAGCCCTGGGTTTGGGTGATAGAAGAGCAGCTGGAGGTTTAAACTGTGTCTCAGTGAAATCCACTGCTGTGTGCGATGGCAGCCAGCCTGCCTGGCAGGAGCAAAGGGCTGTGTCAGTTTGCCCTGCCACAGCACAAAGGCTGCCTGTAACCTGACATGCTGACACAGGCTCCTTCTCCTCCCGTGTGCCAGTTCTCCCCCCTGCCCCTCCCGTCTGCAGCGGGAGCTGTGGCTCCCAGCTCCTACCTGATACTCCCAGTCCTGTCCCCAGGGCACGAGCTGTCTGACATCTGCTGAAAGAGCTGCCCACCGATGTTCATCTGTACTCTGGCTCTGCTAGAGCAGTTTTCTGCCTCACCACTCATGTTGTTGGCTGAGCTGTGCTATGAAACTAGGACTGCAATAACAGAGAATTGCAGTTAGGACATGCCTCAATAAAAACCCTCTGTCTTGTGTATTGGGCACCACACACCCTTAAAATGCCTTTAAATACCATTATCAGGGCAATTTTTCCACACAGGAGCACTGTTTAAGCTCTCTGCTACACTTTGTCGTTCTGCCTAGTGCATATAAGACGGACAGAAGCGTTACTCCGTGGCCACTTTGTGAAGAAGGGCTCTGAAAGGCTGTGGAGCATCCCCAGAGACACCGAGCTGCCGTGGCAGGGCCACCTCAGCGCCTGCACAAGGCCGCGGCCGCCCCACTCGGCCACTCCTCTGCCCTTTGCCAAAGAGCAGCTCGCTCCAGTGGAATACCTGGCAAATCCTTGCTCTGAGGTCTCCTGTGAAGTGGCTTTGTGGAGGCAGGGGTGGCTTCAGCCCCTCTGCACGTGTCCCTGCAGCAGCGCCTGGCAAGGAGCCGTGCTACCCAGGCATTGCTGGGGACAATCCCCCATCCTCTGCTCTTCCTCCTGCTTTGAACGGGGGGGCTGGGAAAAGAGCCCTTTTAATCCCCTGAGCAGCCTTCTTCCCACATGACTAACCCTTCTGCATGCGTGCCATCCGCCTTTTCTCAGATGAAAGTGCTGGCACTGGGATGCTGGCTCCCTGGCTCCCCGGCTCCCTGATTCCCTGTCTCCACAGCTCTCCGGCTCCCCAGCTCCCCAGCTGCGAGCTTCAGCCCATGCCACAGGAGCTTTGCCCGCCCTGGGACACATCCCTGTCTGCAAGAGGAGGCTTTCATGAGATCCTCGTGTCCGCTCTCCTGGGGGGACCCGAGCTGTGTGACACGGAGGGGGACATCTCTCCTCCTCTGCAGGCACGCACGGCCTGTCCAGCTCCATCCGGGCCGCCAAGGGCACGTACAGCACCCAGCCTCAGCTCGGGCATCAGCGGTCTGGGCTTAGCTGGCCCGTCCTCTGGGAGGCTGATTCCTGCAGAGCACCCACCTCCCGCAGCTGGTTCCGCTGCCAGCCACCGCCCAGTGACCTCCCAGAGCACCGAGGGCTTTGTACCCCACTGCTCCGAGCCTGGGACCAATGCCTTGGACAACTAATCCACACCTCTCCATAACCTCCTGTCACATTTGCTCCCTGCTTTTCTTTTTCAGACCTAAAAAAGCTGTCACCTCCACACAGCTCCACTGGACTCCCAGGTTGCCACAGGCTGATGGCTGTTTCCCAAGGCAGAGTGCTCAGCATTGCCAAGGGGACAGTGCCCCGTGCACAGGGGCCAGCCTCAGATCTGAGGACACCAGGAGCTGTGTAAAGATGCTGTCAGTTTCCTGAAGCACCAGGAAACCAAAGTGTTTTTGCCAAATTTAGGAGAAAGATTAGAAGCTGAATGACTTTTAGGAAAATGAGTGTACAAACTGGCAGGTTAAATCAGGAGAGCATAAAGTGTTACTTTGAAGGATAAAAATCAAAACCATATGCTATAAAGGCAGATGAGAGGCAACTACTCAGGTGCACAATATTCTGCATCCCTTACACCTTGCCCTTTACAAAAAAACCAAAAAAAAACATCTTGCCCCAACAATGAAAGGAAAGGTATTGATCTTCTGAAACATGGCTTTGCTTCTAGGTAACGTGTTTTTCACTTCAGTTTTACTAAGCAAGTGGTCCCAGTTTATTTTACAGTGACCTTGTGCTCTCACATCAGCACCTGCAAAGTTGTTTAGATACAATGTCATCAAGAATGTTAGTCCAAAGTCTGAAATTCCTGTTGGTCCACAACTGATAAAAGCTGCATACTGTCATTTGTAGTAATTATAATTCAAATTATAGGAGAAAAGCAAAGGCAATAGAGAAATAATGCAAGAACACTCTTGCAGTGTTTCCAAAATTAAATGCTTTCCATTTAGTCATTGCTGTAGCTAGCAAGATGCTTTGACAGCTTCAAATTGTCACCTCTAAGGGAAAGGGAAACATAGTAGGAAGGAAGAGGACAGACTAAAATCAAATTTTACTTTTTGATCTTAGAACAAATTCAGTTCCTACTGAACCTGTTTACTTTACTCAGAACAAAGCTGGATCTGGGCTACAAGGGCAAAATTACTCTGGACTGATGCAAACATCAATGCAGACACAAAATATCCAGTTAAAACACAAGGCTTTCATGCAAAGTGCATCCACAGTGCTTAATGTATTCACAAAACTGAACATACTGATACATTTGTGCTAGCAAGAGCAAACCACTCATCACTGCCAATGTACTTTAGTTTAATGTAGTTTGAAAAATAGCAAGTTTAGTCCATCAAATTAGGCATATCTAACTGTGCAAATTTTTCATTAGCAATTGTCTGTTTGCGTAGGAAGCTGTGGTGTCACTCCATTGCACACCGCTCTTCTTGCATGCCACATTGAAGGGAAACAAAAACTATGAGAGGCCAAAAGGAGCTGCTCATAAAAAGCCAAGCACAGATTGTTCATTGCTAATGGACTGTGGACAGTTGGTCAATGCATTTTCCACAAAAACCTGGTGTATTTAAAGCAGCTTATTTTATGAGTCACAGGTTACTGCAGTCATGAACTGACCAAATTTCTGAGGCATCTGAGACATGTTTTAAGAGTATCTAGAATCAAAAACTCCCACTTTTCACTGAGTTGTTTCATGCTCTTGTTGCACTTCTTCCCTGACCTCAAAAGTAATTTCTTTTGTTTTCCCAAATGTGGGAATTTACACGTGAAAAACTCTTTCTGCCAAGACGTGATAAGTCTCCTTGGTTGGTCAAAACTGGCAGCCAGTTCTTGTGCTAATACTGTGATTTGTATTAATTTGGGATTTATATCTTACTCACAGTGATGAATAAACAGGACTTGACTCCTACCCTGAGACTTCTTGAGCCCATTTCACCCATCTACTTTTGTGAATAACAGCAGAAACAATGGACTGACTTCCCTCAAAATGTAGAATAAAGGTGCTACTTTATGAACAGGGAAGAGTTGTCCATGAAGATCAGTATGACAGAAGCAAATGTTGTACCTGGACAGACTGGAGCATATAGTGTGCATGAGGCCTGTGAGCTCATCCCTGCAGGCTCTCCAGCACTGGCTGAGCCCCAGGGGAATACTGGGTCCAGCTGTGAGTACCAGGATGCAAGGTGGGCTGATAGAGATGTTTAGGGCTGAGTACCACAGACAGACTCTTTATACCAATGTTCTTCAGCACTCCAAATGTCTGGCTAATGACTGACAGTGTAAACAACTTACTCGTGCATGATTTGTGCTCATTCTAGTGTAGGCATCAATGCTCTCTCTCAAGTAAGCTGAACAGAATTGTGAAAGTCCTTTCTGAAATGTTGACTTGCTGGGGATGTGGAGTGGAGTGATAAACACTGCAGATTTTCTTCACACAGAACTTCTCTGGGTTTATTGTTTCATTTAATTGAATTTTCCTTTTTCCTCTCTTTTCTTAAATACAGCTCTTGAAACAATTCAGTCTTGGGCACACCATGTACCTTTTTTCAAGATTCATTGGCACAGTACAAATGTTACTGAAAGCAGAACCAGCTCATTGTTTTGGGAAGCAGTTCACCTTATAGTCTATATTCCACGTTACTCACTTTCCTGTTTATCATCACAGGCTGGATGCAGGTGCTTTAGAGAAAAAGAAAAAAGTGGAAGTTACATAAAACATGTGGGCCAGCTCCTCAAGGGATATAAATTGTTGTTGTACCATTTACAGGCTCTGGAGGACAGGCTGTACCAAATCAACATATCCTTTGTTTTCTAATAAGATCCTACTGCACAGACTAGAAAAGAGATTTATTTCTTCTGTAGCACTGTGACCTTGATTAACCTCATCTGTAGTACTTATTTCAGTGAAAGAGCTAATACCTACACTGACTTCAAAATGTTGCTAAATGTAGTATATGGCTGCTCATGTATCATTTGCTTCTCTCAAGCCATTTTCTGTCAGCAGAGTGGCAAGCCAGATGTATGCTCTGGGTGATTCCCATATCATCATTAGCAGAAAATTAAGCCAAACTGCTGTAAAAGGTGAGCTGTCAGGAAGACAGTGATTAAATACTTACCACCACAGTCAGCCCACACTGCATAATGTCATGTTCAGAGGATTTCAATCTGTTTTCAAAATGGTAGTCAGTGCCATGGGCTCAACTGAACCTTCTTCACTCAGGCCTTGAGAAGCAGGCTCAGATAAGCTTGGCCCTTTTTCATTTCAAGAGAATTTTATTTCAGTATCATATAGTACAATACAGGAAAACAGCAATTCTTAATCTGTAGCTTGAGGTTGCTCTTGCGGTACTAAACTGTTCTCACCAAAATCTTTCACAGGTTCTTGCAGATGTGCTGCAGACACAGCAATCAGTCCATTGTGGTCACACTGAGGTGTAGCTGTCTGTCATGCAAAGAATGGAAAAGTCTGAATGTTTGGAAATTATGGGATCTGAATTGCTTCAATAAAAATTGCATAAGAGACCTTGGAGCAACAACTGAGGCAGTAACAATAACACTGTACTCTATATTTCTCCTGCAACACTGGCAAGCTTAATCTTCAACATTCCTGTGAGAAATACAGTCACATGTTGTGGATGGTAATTTTGAAACACTGAGATATTTTATTTATTTATTTATTTATTTATTATTATATTATATAACCAATTTTATTAATGCTTTTCAGAATGGAGCAGCACACACTGGGACACAGAGATGATGCAGTCCTTGTCCCAAGGGACCCACCAGCAGGACATCAAAGACAACTGTGACAAATGAGACCACATTAGTGGGTTCCATGGTTTTATTTTGCATTTTGCCCTCCTCTCTCCTGCCTCCCCTAACCTTGCTCAGCTTTCCCCTTTCACCCTGCTGCTTTCCCTTCTCCTTCCCATTCCTCCCTTTCTGCTGACACTGGTCCTAAGAGCCAGTACAGAGACAAGTCAAAGGTGCTCAATACAGCCAAAGCCTGAAGGATTTCCACCCTGGGAAACAAGAAACCTTGGACAGTTCAGGACACTGGATGGTCCGTTAGGAGAACCTTTTACTACCTTTTACTTTGTTTAAGCCTGTTCCTGTTGTGAAGAGTCTGATGAAATAATCCTAATAAGCAAAGATGTTTTCTAATATTGCCTCTAGACATGACACTGGAAACAGGATGGTTAATGGTCAAATCCTGCCTCCAGTGATGTGGGCAGATGCTTAGTGACTGCAGATATCATATTTTGCTTCAACACATTTCCATTCTGTTTTTACACTTATCCACACATAGAACTCCCCTTTTCTGTTGACCAGTGTTTCTGAAGACAGCCAGAATTGTATCACTTACCCAGATCAGGTGCACCAAATTCAACAGTTGGTGTTTCACACCTTGAATCCTTTCAAAAGTTGTCCACCTATCACATGAACATGAAGGTTCATCTGACCCCAGGCTGGCTATGTTGGAAATCTACTCCAGTATTATTATTAAAAACTGTAAGCAAGACATTTCCAGAGAGCTGTGAAAGACTATTCACAAGGGCATGTAGTGACATGACAAGGAGGGATGCCTTCAAACTGAAAGAGGGCAGGTTTAGATCAGATATTTGGAAAAAATCCTTTACTGTGAGATTGTTGAGGCATTAGAGAAGCTGTGGATGCCCCATCCCTGAAAGTGTTCAAGGTTGGACTGGACGGGGCTCTGAGTAACTTGGTCTAGTGGAAGGTGTCCCTGCCCATGACAGGGGGATTGAAACAAGATGGTCGTAAGATCCCTTCCAACCCAAGCTGGCCTGTGATTCTGTGATTTAATGAGAGCTGGGCCACAAAACACTGCCTGCACCTGTGGAAAATCTGCCCTTTGCTGCAACTTCTAATTTCAAGTTTAATTTCCAGCTCACAACAAAGTTACAGCTTGTAACCTTGATAGTTAAGTGACAAACACTTCTAGTACAGATTTTTGCTAGCCCAAGAGCTACACATGATCCAGGTAGTTTGACCTGGTCTTACAGAGGTTGTGAAAGCTTTTTTGTTTCTCAATAAATGAAAACTTGCATGCACTGATGACTGTTCCGTCTAAAGGCACACTACATAGCAGCAAACAGAAATAATTTTACAGAGAAACTTTTGCATATGGCTTGAAAAAAAACCCATCAAGAATTGACAATGATAGATGATCTCCCCAGTGAAATTCAGGAATAATGCAGTTTCACATTTATGTCAGGGAAAAACAAACAATGGACATATTTAAATAATCATTAAAAATGAGATGCCTGGCATAAGGCAGGTTCCAACCCTGTTCTGCCACACATCTTCTGGAAATCTTTTTTGGATATTATCTGAGGCCTTCTTACTGGCGTTGCTCATGAATAAGAACTGTAATGGAGGTTCACCCAAGCAAAAGGTTCTCTCAAGGGAAATTACGTGAAAGGACATTTTTCTTGTCTTCATGTTTGACATTCAGGAGTAGTGATGAGAAAAGGCAGGCACAGGAGTCTTTCAGAAAACCACCAGAGAGCAGTGGCAGCATTTCATAGGGATGTGAACCGGTCATCATCTGCTGCAAAGACTCCATTAATGTGGCCTGCTTTTAAATCCAGTGCTTCACAAGGAATCCCATTTTCTAGTGTCACTTCAACTTTCTCTTCTAAATTTTCTCTCTCTGTTGACTCTTTATTCTTTCTAAAAACAAGAAAGAAAAGATCATCTTATTCTGTTGACCTGCAGCACTCCACCATGATTCCACAGAAAGCAAACTGCATATTTAGTTAGAAGTTTGTCATAGGTTATGCTCCTAAAGGAACAATCTGGTGTACTTCCTTGCTGTTGTAAACACACCAGATGGGTGTACCTAAATGCAGTAGCTGGAGGACACACAGATGGGAAGCCCTAGTTTAAGAGTTTGAGCTCAGAATTGGAGACCAGAAACCCTGAAGTTGACATGTTGTAAGTATGTTTTAAATATCATTTCATCTTCTTATTCTGCACCATGACTAGAAGGTGCAAAAGAAAAGCTGGGGCAAAACAAAATTTGAAAAAATCTCTAAATCTGTTTGGGTTTTTTTACATCAGGAAGGTCTACACTAAGCATGAAATCTGACCCTGCAATGTATGTCACAGATCACACCCCAGGATCTGTACAAAACAATTTTTTAGAAACAGATCAGTCTTAGACTAACTATAGCTTCTGATGTGGAGACATCCATGACATCCATCACATCCATGATTACCTTCTTCAGAACATTCATGATTACTTTCTTAGGTAATCTCAGTGCTGCAAATCTGCATTTTTTTCCTTCAAACTTCATTAGCAGCCACCTTCTTACCCAGTATTTTATACTTTTGTTTTCTAGATCAAACAATTGCATAGCTTTCACTTTTCCAGACTCCTGCTGTCCCAAAAACATATAATAGTGGTTGAATAAATTATTTACATTTAAAAAACCCCTAAAATATTATCTAAAATATAATCATTAGAAGATGTAATAAACAAATATCAGTCAACAGATCATGATGTTCCTTTAATTCCAGATTTATTCTGACCTGGACAACAATTAGTTCATAGTTGAAAAACCTGCTGTACTTTATGGCCTGCAGCATCAGCGGTTTCAGAGGACAAGAAACTCAAAGGTCAGGTGCACTGCTTCTTCCTATCTCACAACGTGCACTGTAACAATCTGACTCAGGACAACTGTAAAAATCTGACTCAGAGTAACTGCTAATGACAGAGATATTAACAATAATAAAATTTTATAGGCCCTTGGGGGATTCTTCACATTACAGACATGTTAAAATAAACTTGGGGTGTAGTAGCAGAAACCTCTGACCTCAGGCTGCTCTCACACTGATAAAAATGAGTGTTCTTTAATACAAAACTGTGGGGACAGAACATAAAAGTTACTAAGGAGGTTCAAAAGAAATGAGAGGAATAGAAGATGTGTGAAACTCATTACCAGATGAAATTCGGAGAAACTAAAAATTTCCATGAATCCAAGAGGTGACTCAACACCTTAAGGGAAGTTAAGGGAAGAGAAAGTTAAGGGAAAACATACAGGAAGACCAAATCCAGCTCAGGAAGGCCCACAGCTGCAAATTAATTCCTGGGAGATCTAATACAGGGGAAGACTGTGTGCTTACTCTGTTTTCACTCTTCCCAAGGCAAATTTTTATGGCCCCTGCTGCAGATGGGATTTTTGGGGGATAAGGGGAGACTTTGGGCTAGTTCAGGATAGACTGCAGAGGATGATCCTGCTCTGGGCATGTGGCAAATCTATTGCTGTAGAGGGAGGTGTCCTATTGCGGCAAGGATAGGAGAACAAACACAAGGCTGGGAGACAGTGTGTCTGACCCAGCTCACTATGGGCACTGAATTCAGCAAATATCTCAGTTCAATAAATGATGCATGAGTCTAACTCAATACTGAAACTCCTCTGTAAGTTAACTCCCCTTCCCTGACACCCTGAGCATGGACAGCCTGGAGCACGTGCTTTTGGTCTTATCTGAACTGAGGTATTTACATGGTATTTTAAAGACCTTTAAAGACAAAATGCCAGATTTATGAGAAGCCAACACCATCCTAGGGGTCAGATTTCCAACATAGCTTACTAGGCAACAGAGCTCCCATTACATAAGCTCTGGACAGACTTCTAAGAAAACTAATTATTGAACATGCTGAAGTCTTTGAAAACCTGGTCACTTCACTGTCTGACAAAAAGATCAGTGCTTTTGAAATCCTTTTCTCTGATTTTTTTTTCCAAGAAGCCAAATAACCCAGACCATCCCTTTTACCTCTCCAGTGCTTGCAACAGTAGACAGAAGAAATAATGCTTGGTTTACCCTCTCTCTTACTTCCCGCCCCTGCTGCAGATGTTATTGAGGTGAAAGGAGGGTTACAGTTCAGGCACACATGAACCTGCTCTGAGGAAAGGTTTTATGTAATGATAGAGTAGGGAAATAGAGGGAGAAGTGAAAAAAGCATAACAACTAAAAGGACAAGAGCATGAGACAGAGAGGGTGCCAAGTGAGCACAGGCAGGCAGCAACAAGCCATATTAATGGCAGTGTGGTGATAAGAGCATGCAGTTTACACCATATTGAGGGGAACTGCTCAAGCTCAGCTGAGTTATTTTGAAAATACAGGGGTAAATCCTGTCTTTCAGCATGATATGAAGCACTAGTGATTATTTTAGCTGGAAAAATACCAGCTATTTATCTTAGTTTATTTTATTACACTTACATGAAATGTTCAAAGACCCCCTTAAAGTTAGGCACTGTAAAGAAACACAGAGCCATGATACCACAGAGAGCAGGTATGGGCTTCAGGTAGCAACATCATTCAGTTTTACAGAAGAGGTTGCCTAGTTTAGGGCATGAAATAATTCAGTCCATACAGCATGGCTGTGATAGGGTTTTAACTATCTACAGATTCCAAATACCATCCCAGACTCTTTCCCCAAGAGCATCTTTCATCGATTGTTTGCTGAATTTTGTGGGTTTTTTTAGAAAAGAGAAAGGGGTTTTGGAAATTCATGTAACTCCTCTGATTGCAAAATATAACTGAAGGGATTCTGACTATACTACTTAAGGTTCTCTGTGACAAGCACTTAACCTTCCCAAGTGTTGTTCTTCTGAGGTCTTTTAACATTTTTCAAGGTAATAAAAAAGCAGGAAGGAGAAGTCTCTGCAACATACCACTTTTCATATATTAATTCCTTTTTCTGATATATTTGGGGATACAATCCATTATATAGTCAATAATTTTGATATTATCTGGTTATCAGCAGGAATTTACCATTTTTCAGTTCATCAGCTGTTCCTGTATGAATCTATTGCTGAAGTCATAATTTTGTAGCCTAAACTACAAAACTAAACCTAAACTCTGTAGCAGCCAAAAGCATGGTAGAAGCTGAACTTCTATGGCAGAATCTCAACTCAGCTGAGAAATTTCTATTCCTTATGCTCAACTCAGAGCCAGTAGAGATGTCAGGATCAAAACTCCACCTGCTCTCTGTGTTGCTCCCACATGCTCATACTAGGGAAGCATGAATCCCCTTCTCTTTTTCACCTGTGCCACCAGGGCAGAAATGGAGAGGAAAAGAGAGTATCCCTCTCCTACCCTACCACCAGAAAAACTCCTAAGCTCACGGGGAGGTCTGCCCATGAACCTGTGAAGGGCTGGGTGTTTTGAGCTCATCACATCATGAATGGTAAGGGAAACCCTGCTGTGTTCCAGTGAGCAGGCCCTCTTCAGCCATACCTTAATCATTACTGTGTGCCCTACTAAGTCTTCTCAAGCTGCAATAGCACAGTTTGTTTAGCTACCAGCTCCTGACACTACTGCCCTGGAAGGGACACAGTCACTGCCAGCCTTTCCCCTCCTGGTGGTTGTGTGGGTGGTCTGTGAGAGGAGACTCACCCGTGGCACAATAAACCTTCACAAGAATGACATCAATTGTCTTTTTAAAGCTCATCCCTAGGTAGGTGGCCTTCAGCATCATTTTCTTACACTCTTCATTTCCTTGTTACTCCCCAAAATTACTATTGCACCTGTACCTTACAGTTAAAAATTTTAAGTCTTTTCCTCAGAAAAGGAGAGATGGGTTGTCTTTGCCTAGCTAGGGAAGGATGCACAGCATTAATCTGTCTGAGGCTGCTCTGAAACAGAAAACCAGATCAGCTGACCTAACTAATCAGTGTTCCATTAAAACAGAAGAAAGGCTAGGCTGCTTACTTCTTGTGCTTCTGGATCCCTGACACAACGAGGAAAACAATCCCAGCCACAATGAGACAAAGAACAACACCAAATACAATAAGCCAGACAGGAGTAGAGGGTTCAACAGGAGGTGATAAGGTTGAGGTTATCTTCAGGAACTGCAGCGTTTTGTCACTCAGTAGGAAGGCATTGTTGATTCTGTTCCGGTTCATCCTTCAGGGAAAAAAAAACCAAAAACAAAAGAAACAAGAAAAAATTAACAAATCTTTATAAAAGTATTTTACAAGTTAAAAAGATAGTAGAAAATATAAAGATTTTTCATGAATGTGCTGCAAGTTAGGCAGGGCTGAATGTCATCCAACATGATGAAGAAAAGCATGTTGTCTACCTTTAGGGGATCAGCCTCTTCTCTCAGGCAACGGGACAAGAGAACATAGCCTCAAACTACACTGGGGAGGTTCAGGTTGGACAACAGAAGAATTTCCTTCACTGCAAGGGTAGTTAAACATTGGAAAACTCTGCCCAAGGAGTGGTGGAGTCACCATTCCTAGAGGTGTTCAAGACACAAATGTTTATGGCACTTAGTACCATGGTCTGCTTGACACAGTGGTGGTTTGGTCAAAGGTTGAACTTGACCTTGAAGGTCTTTTCCAACCTAAATGATTCTGTGATTCAATGATGTCGGCAGGATTGCACAGACCTTGACTATAACAGAGGCCTCAGTAATCTACAGACACCCCCACACTTAGAACATTTTGAACACCAGACTTTCGTATGCATTTATCTGAAAAACTGGGAAATACAGATGAGACCTGAAGTACAATATTATTACTTATTTCTGTTTTGAATCATGTCCTGAAGACATAGCAGGTTGTAAGCTGTGAGGCTTGCCTTGCTTATGCAGCATTCAAGATTGGCACAGGAGAGGCAGATCTACCCTTCAGTGCTTGCAGGATTTACTTACATTTTCCCCCTAGTTCCTCAAACTGAACCATCCTGCATGTTATGGGCTGGTACATCTGCCCCTGCTGCTGTAGATTTTCTTAGGTCCATGAGGCACAGGATACAATTTGGCCTGGAAGAACCCACACTTACTGCCAACACGTCCTTCTTCCCTGCAGGATGCAGCTAAAGGGATTTGTACTTTCCATATTTTTTCCATTTCCATATGAGAAACTGCAAGTCTGAGAAATATGCTTTTTCACAGAAGTAGTACAACTGCTATCCTTTAGTGGATATCTTCACCCATTTTCACTGCCAGTAAGCATTTCACTGCCTGTAAGGTATTTCTGAATCTAAATCTAAACAGGCTTAAGAGGCTTTAGAAGTATCTTTCATTAGCTTTTTCAAAATATTAAAAATTTTTAAGCAAATGGATTCATATATTGGTCTTGAGAGATTCTTTTTGATAGCAGTTTTGTGAATGAATGGAGCTCTTTCTTGTATACAATTCAATTTATTTACCACAAAGCAGGTATTTCCTAAGAAAATATGTATGGGAAATACAGGTAAGATTTAACCAATTTCTCTTCTTGGAAATCATATCATGTTTGGCTGTCCCTTAAACAGGAAGTCCTTAGCCTTAGGTATGAATGAATGGAGCTCTTTCTTTTATACAATACAATTTATTTACCACAAAGTATGTATTTCCTAAGAAAATATGTATGGGAAATACAGGTAAGATTTAACCAATTTCTCTTCTTGGAAATCAAAATGTTCCTTAAACAGGAAGTTCTTAGCCTTAATGGAAAGTCAGCATTCCTGGACAGGACTGAAAGCCATGGCATGTTTTAAGACTCATAATTCCGTAAGCTGTCTACCATTTATAAAAGATTTCCTTACTGGTATGAAAGGATTGTTGTGAACAGCTGAAACAAGCATTGTTTACCCTCATCTAGTGGCTTGAGTTTCAGAATTATGTGCTGAAACACATGCAGGCAACTACAAGTGCATTCCATGTTTGTATATGCATATGTTTGTATATTTATGCAAAATCTTGAGTATCACATGGAGCTCTGACATGGTTTACCTTCCTCTTTATCCTCACTTTGTAGGAATCTCATACAACAAAATTGTAGTCCATGACTAGTGTTATGTGCTACCTGCTACCCTAGCATGAAGAATTGTAATAAAGGTTTTGTATGGAAGCCTGCAATCAGAAGCAATTGAACAAAAAGCATTGTAGTTTTATGGACCATTTTATTTCTTGTTTTTAAATTAGGTAGGAATTAAAACTTTTCATAAATAGCATATTCTTTATCAGGTGACAGACAACAGTTAAAAACCAAACAATAACAGCATCCAATTTCTGTGCCAAACAGGGCACATAAAAGACTTAAATAAATCAGCTTATGCTACTGAATGTATCAAAGAATAACAGAAATGCAAAACCCCCGCATTCCAGCACTCTTACAGAGAGCTTCAGTGAATAAATAATCTGCTTCCTCCACTAATGCTATGAAGCTATTGTTTGGTGTCTCTGTAGGAAATAGTCTAATCTGCTCATAAGCTTAAATTAATCTTTCCAAAAGAACGCATACTCATTCATCAGGAATTAGGCATTACACCTCCATAGTGATAACACAAATTTTCAAGACAGAACAGAATGCCTGAAAACAAAGAGATCCATTTTCCACTCCATGCTTGAGAAATATACGTATGTTATGCTGCTTGAGGGACTCATCCCTGGTGCAGGTTTTTTTTGGACCTTTTGGACTATTGAAGTCAGATTATCCCATTTTTTCTTTTTTCCTGTCAGCTCCACATTCTTCTTTTTACTTGCTCCAGAATGTGAGAGTAGAAGGCAAAGTGATATGTAGTGCACTGTACTTTGTACAAGCAATGCTCAGCTGGGATATTGTCTGGCATTCTAGAACAAGCTGGTATGAAAAGAATGTGAGCATAAGATTGCTTAAGCAAGCTGGGACACAGCCAGCTCTGCTCATGAGGAGTTCACACGAGCTCTTCTCATGTGAAAGCTGACTTCCTAATTAAGTCAGATGAACTGTTAGTGAGAAGCACTGAAAGGGAGCCTACAGTCATTAGCCCAGGTGTAGATGTGCATGTAGCACGCAGTAAAAGCTAAATTATATTAATCCCACCCAGAAAGTGTGCCCTTCCATCACCTGTCTCACTGGGAAATGTGATGAGAGCTGGATCAGAGCACTGTGCCACACACTGGACAGCACATCACAGGTAGGGCTCTGGAAAGGGATGAGATTTCTTCAGCATCAACAGAGACTCTTCCCAAAGTTATAATCCCAAGGCTCACATTCTTTGCATTCTGTGGGACTGTTAAACATCCTCTAATCTCACATTCATTAAAGAATACTGTGCCCTCAGTGTTTCAGCAACTTGCATTAGTTCATCCTTAAAGAGGCACAGTGCTCATTCATTAAAGGCCCAGAGAGAGAAAACATCCCCAGTAAACAAGGAAGAAAACATTGCAAGAGCAGTGACTGTACCTGATGGCTGCCTCTACCTCACTTCCAGGAACAGTTGTCACATTTTTGGAAGAATCTGTGACCACAAACCAAAAGGACACCCGGTCTGTCACATTGCAGAGCAGCACATTGGAAATTCTGCAGACAGTTAAAACATCATTAAAGATGCATGGAAGGAATTCTTGAAATATTTTAGATTTTCTTAAAATATTGCTCTCAACTAAGGGGGAAAAATTTCTTATTTTTAAAAATGCTAACACAGTTAAGAAAGAAATATCACTCACAGCATTTCCCCTATGATTTTAAAGAAATCAAGCTTATGAAAAACAAATGAGTCTTCAAACAAATTTCTAAATCTATTACAGACTTTCAGGGTCTTGGACATACATCTACCATAATCAAATGGAAAAATACATATTTGAATAACAACCATCATTGGCTGTGAAAAAGGCCATATCATGGAACAAGTGTATTGGTGAACTAAGAATTCTGGTTTTGACAGCAAATACCACAGGAACCAGTCATTGAGAATTGCCCATGTGATTGTTAAGTGTGTGCAGTTCTACAAAATACATTTGTTGGAAGGAAGATCAGTGGAATTGATGTTATAGGTTTTGACATATTTGTTCACAGAGTCAAGCACAGAATGGACAAAACAAGCTAAATTTAGTCATTCTACTGGCACTGGCCTCTTCCTTTTAGCTTATGCTGTATCAAATATTTATATTATCTATTTTAAAGGAAGATTGTTCAGTTTTATATGAAGTTAAATGTGGAGGGCACAGGCAGGCAGCTTCTCATGGCATAATAAAAACAGTCTGCAAAATGCCTTTTAAACGCTGTTTCCCTCCCCCGATTTCTACTGGTAAATGGTGGAAATATCAGAAAACCCTTCTGCAACGACGCAATCGCGAGGATTTAAGCGAAGGAAGCGAAAGCCGATCCCTCCCAGGACCGGGACAGGGCCGGGGCGCGCCCCGCGCTCCGCTCGGCAGCGGCACCTGCCGGCCGCGGGCAGCACCGGGAGCCGGGACGGGACGGGAGGGAGAGAGAATGTCCATGCCTGGGCATTCCCCATCCAGCCCAGGATCAGCCTGTAAGGCAGATCAGAGTGCCTCATTAGGATATTTTGTAGAAATGTTTTACTTCCCGATGAAAACTTTTTTTGAGTGATGTTTTGGGTGCCCCAGGTAGTGCTACAGATCATTTTACAGAGGTCTATCTCAATCTATCTATCTATCTATCATCTATCTATCTATCTATCAATCATAGAATGGCTTTGGCTGAAAAGGACCTTAGAGATTTATTCCAACCCTCATGCCATGGGCAGTGAACCTTCCACTAGACCAAGCTGCTCAGAGCTCCCTCCAGCCTGGCTTTGCTTACTGCCATGGATGGGGCATCTACATGGGTGGGGCATCCATCTCTGGGCAACCTATGCCAGGGAGTTAGCACCAGTAAAGAATTTCTTACCAATATCTAACCTAAACCTACTCTTTGACTTTGAAGACATCCCATTTGTCCTGTCTCATGCCCTTATCAAAAGCCTCCTTCCATCCTTCTTGAAGGAGGGTTCTTGCCACTACTCTCTCTTTTCCAGGCTAAGCAAACCAAATTGTCTCAACTTTTCCTGGAAGGAGAGATGCCCCAGTCCTCAGAACCACAGAATATTCTGAGTGGGAAGGGACCCACCAGGATCATTAAGTCCAGCTCTTATGGGAGTGATCCACACAGGGATCAAAGTCTCAACCTTGGCATTATTCACACCATGCTCCAACCAACTGAGTTGATTTAATTTTGGCTCTTTGGAGCTTGCTCCAACAGTTTCATGCCCTTCCTGTGCTGGGGACCCCAGAGCTGGCTGCAGCACTCCAGGTGGGGTCTCACCAGAGCAGAGCAGAACAGAAGGGCAAAATCCCCTCTCTTGCCCTGCTGGCCACACTGCTTTGGATGCAGCCCAGGGTGCAGTTGGCTTTCTGGGCTATAAGCACCCATTCCAGAGAGATATGCAATAAAATGGAAAGCAGTGATTTTGCAGAGCCAAAATGACCACTTTTACCTCTCTAGAACAGTATCAATTTTACAGAGAATTTTTATGGATAAAAGAGGAAAGCCATCCTCTGGAATTTGAAAAGATGTTCACATCTGTTTCTGGCAACAGTCAGAAGATGAAAGCAGAGTTATTCTTTCAAAACAAAAAAGAAAGCACAAAATTTACAGGAGAGGGGAAAAATGCCTACTTTTGGCTGATGGCTGACAAACTCTTGCTGACTTCACAGAATATTTAAAAATGTAACTGCAGAGGAAGTTTTCTATCTCAGTGTTTATAACAGTAGAACCCAAAACTTCATGTTGCCAAAGTTCCTAAAGCTGCAGTTTCTGTGGTGTAATCAAAAACTGGGCCAGGTGGAAAATCTGAGTTGGTGTTCCCCTACAGATGTTCTTGAAATAGGGTAAGAAAGATTAATCCCAAAAAAAAAAGATAAAGGCAGACTAGGACTGGCAGAAAACCCAGACTGTCATACCCTTATTCAAGGGTATTATTATAGGGTCTTCCCCAAGTGCCAAGGTTTATAGCATGAGACAAGGCATTCAGTCACCACAGGGGTAGCATCTTTCTGTAGAACAAACAGCACTGAAACAAGTGCAGCAAGGATTGCACTAGGGTATGTAAATTTGCCTTATTTTCTTTTCCCTGTTGTTTCTAAAATCCTCAGTTACAAGGATTCAAACTCTGGTTTCACCACCACCACTTTTTCATCAGTGGAATACAAATGCCACAAATCCTTCCAGGCCCCGAAGAGAATAAATCCCACTCATGAGAAGTTCCAAGGGGATGAGTTAACACCAAAACAGACTGGTTCAACAAGAACCCATGTGGCAATTTCTGTACAATGGTGCACGTTTTTTTTCTCCCATGCCATTTGTGTGCAGGTTTAATTCACAACAGAGAACCACTGCAAATATGCCATCACACTGTATAGATCTGAGAAACCTGGCTTCACCAGGCACTATTGAAGTGTATTTGTAAACATATATGTGGACATTTTTTCCTTTCCTTAGCAGTTGATAGACTTTTGACATGGGATTATAGGAGACTGTTATCATCAAAATAACAAAATCCTGGTTCAGCCTTCTGGCACCATGGCAAAAGTCCAAAACTGCATTTCCTTTAATACACCAGTGAGTAGAGTGCAGGAAACCCTGGCAATTCCTTGGCCTGAAAAACCATCATTGCTCCTTACGGAGATTTACATGATTGCTTAGGGGTAAGAAAGAGCTGTCAGAGTCAAAGGGAGCTGAGTGCCCACAATGGCTGTTAGCTCATGGAAGAACCACAGTCCCCAAGTCCCAGGTGCCTATCTCCAGCTCTCCCAAAAGCATCACGCCTCTTCCAACACAGGGCTCTACAGCTGCTTCTGCAAAGGAACATTGCTTTCTTCTTAGCAGCCATGGGATCACTTTGATTTAACAGCTTTACTCCAGACTCTCGTTGCTCACAATATTTTTAGTATCAAAAAAGCCCGTCTTAGGAAGCTGGATAATGTTGATGAATTTTTTTCTGGTCGCTTTGTAAGGAAAATTTCAGGGTTTTTTATCTATAAATGGGGGAAAGATGCACCAAAAGTAGATTCTGTTATTTGAATGAAAACAAATGTGTTGACATTCTTCCTGCTCTAAAGATTAACTAGTCTCAGGCCCAAAAGAGATGCATATTATTTCAAATGAGTCACAGATTAGAGAAACCAGGGTTACTAACACAGGCTACAACAATAATTTTTTAACACTGAGAGATCAAAGGTTGGCTTACGTAGTTCATGACCATGTGAATTGAGAATCAATTGAAAGGCCATATATAAAGCAGGAAATAATGGAGTATTAATTCTCCACTGAAAAAGAAATATTTATTCGTAACTCTATTAATAGTTACTGAGTAATGTCATTGATTGTACCTTTCTTCTGTTTTGTGCAAACTTGAAAATCTGACAAGCCTTTCAAACATTAAACACTGCTCCATGATTTATTAAATTTCAGTTTGGAAATTAACTTTAGAGAGCTCGAGATGTAACGTGCAATCCTCCCCATTCTGTGCTGGGTCTTCAGTGGTTACACAAGGGCAGCAACAGCATCAACTGCTGTTTGCAGCAGCACATTGAAATACTTGTCATCACAGCCTGGCTTTTATTCACCTTCAGAAACCTAACAAGAGGTGACTTCATATACCAAAAATTACAGGGCAGACTGCAACAATGGTTATCCCAATCCACCAGACAAATTATTCTGGGGCTTGATAGAGTTTGCTGAAGTTAATGGCATTTGTGTCTCATGTGGAAGTTAGTCGTGGCTGTGAGTTACTTCAAGGCTGTGGGTGTGTTAGAAATAATTGGGATTTTAAAGCGGAGGTTTGTCACATCCTGGCTATGGCTACATGCATAATTTATAACCTGGCAGAACCAGTATGTAGTTACATAAAATAATAGTGATCTTTTTCATAGGTTTTGTTTTGACAAAAAACTTCAATTAACCAGATGCAAAAATTCCTTAAAATTGGTTATTGGTCTTATTCATCTCCTGAAGAAAATCTGTTGACATTTTCCTGTGAAAGCTCATGTAGTGAAATGCAATTTATTTGCCAGCAGTGCAATGTAATTTATTTGGTACAAGCTCCTGCTTGTGCCTCCCTCTTCAGCACAGTGAAGTCTCCTCACCAGCTCTGCCAGGGTGCTGTTCCCGTGCACAGCATGCTGCTGTTCCTGCTGGGATGCTGGCTGCTCCCATGCCTCCATGCCTGCTGCAGAGGGGATGGAGCAGGACTGCACTCCTTCCTTCCAGCTGCCAGCCCCAAGGGTGGGGAAAGGGGTGTGTTATTTCCAGGACTTCTAACAGGATGGAGGCTTCACAGCCTTCCTGGTCCCATGTAATAGGCAGATTATTTGAGGTGTATTGGGAGGTTCATCCAGCCTCTCCATCACTAAACAAGGGCTCTGAGGCCCCTCTGGGATTTGAGAGAGATCTATGCATAGGAGACTCTTCAACCTGCTGCCTAGGAAGTTGTGCCAGATCTCAGAGCTGCACAGCTCTCCTTTAGGTGACATGCTGTCTATAATGACCCAAAGGTGTCTCTTAAGTCCTACATGAGTTATCAGTTATACCTCCAATATACACCCCATGAGGGGTGTACCTAGGTTATACCTCATGAAAAAGTCAGGTCCTAAAAAGAGGTAAAGATCCCCACAGCTGGTTGGTTCCAAATGTTATACTGACTTCTCTGACCAGCTTAGTAGCAGGGAATTATTCATGTATGCAACACCACCTCCAAACTGGAGTAACACTGGCATCATCATATTTGTCCGTAAGAAAAACTCTCTAGATAGGAAACTGAATTAATGAGTATAAAATTCTATTATTGCCCAGAGTGGGTACAGATAACTGCCATTAAAACTTCTACTCCTTCCATACTGACTTGATTTTTTTTTTCATTTCTGCAGCACCCTTACTTTAATCTGCAGAAAACCATAGTGCTTGAAGAGGAAAAAGATCACGTGCTTCTGACACAGGTTTTTGCTATGTGAAAGCAGACTGACTTTGAAGGAAGAGAATAATTTAAAAAAATGACCCAGGACTAAAATAAGTATACAAAAGTGAATCTTTATGGAGCAGATGCTGAATGAAAACTCTGCTGCCTTGAAAACCTGAGAAAAGTCCTACATAATCATCCGTAATTAGCTTGTATCTTGAACTAATTTTTTTAAGTGCCATTTTAATTGGGCTGAGTAGCACACTTGGCTGTTTTTTGTTAAGCTTGATATAACAGCTCTTTTGCTCAAAGGAGACCACCTCTCAGGAATAAAAATGAAACAGCAGGAATCAAACACTCCTGCCACATGGAGGGAGAAATCCCCTTTTATTTAAGAGAAAAGCAGCATCCCCAATAATCATCATGTGACTGAAGCTAACTAATATATTTTCAAATGTGGAATATGCTTCACCTGATGCAATGACAGCCTGAAGCAGTTTTAAGTAAATTGAAAACCTTATCCTTGTTAGCCTACCAGAACTGTCAGTCTTTCCTTTCAGATTGAAACACAATTAAAAAATAGGCCTGTGGAAATGCACTTACAAGGTTTTCCTTAGAACTGTCAGTCTTTCCTTTCAGATTGAAACATAATAAAAAAAAAATAGGCCTATGGAAATGCACTTACAAGGTTTTCCTGTTAAGAAAGATAAGAACATCGTGAAAATACAGCTGGCTAAGTGCTCTGTCTAATCTGGTATCTAATTTCATAGACTAGCAAGGATCAGAAGCCAGCAAAGAACATTCAATACCTCAGGGTAGATTTAATCCCAAAACCAATTAAAGGCTGATTTCTATCTGCACTACAACATCTGAAACTTCGTGATGGTAGGTAACTCAGCTGTGTGATATCAGGGATAGGAATGCAGAGCACAGCACTGGCATAGCTATCCATCTCCCAGGGCTCTGAGTCAGCTCATCTCCAGCACACTGCTGAAGCTGAGCTCTAAGGAAGGATGCACCAGAGCTGCTTACTCAAAGATCTGTGCTGCCTTTTCTGACCTCCCAGGGTGTCCCTTCACCTCCTCCCAGTATGGTCTCCAGAAGGTGCCAAATCTTCCCGCTGCCTTCAGCTGAAAGTGAACTGGCACATCTCTCTGAGATGCACAGCTGTGTCATTTCACATCCACAGGGACACTGGTTCAAAGATTGAACATTGTTGAAGGTGGAGACAGTGTGATGTTGAATATGTATCTGGGTGTCAGAAGTATAGTCTGCTTTTAGAATCTCTGTATAATGATTTCTACAGCTCAGTACAGCAGAGGACAGGTCACTACATGCAGCATTGTTAATATGTATAAGGCAAATCCAAGCAGATGCTTACTGAGTTGTGCTCTTGCTGGAATATCTTCTCATTGCAAAAGCCACCATTGCTTTGAAGAGGTACTCTTCATTAGCATCCCAGGCATACTGTAAAGGAAGAGGAAAAATAATTAGTTTCAGCACGAGTGGTGACAGTACACAGAGGGAAAAGAGTTGCTGAACTTGAAATGCTGTATTGATCAAGAAAATGAATAAATTCTCTGGTTGGGCTAAGAAAATGAATGCCCATTATTTAGTGTGGACAAAGAACTTTTTCTAATGGAAAAAAAAAGGGGCCATAAAACTGTAATATAAATAATATAAAATGCAAAGAATGTTTCCAAAAATTGAATTAACTGAATATTTCTGAAAGCTGACCAAACTGGAGATGTAAAGTTTATTATACCAAAGACTAAACATATTACTAGAATTCTCCCCACACAGCTGCACTCATAGCCTTGCCTCTTATGCTGGAGAAACTCAGTTAAAGTAGAAGTAAATCCACCCTCTAAGACTATTTGGCTCTGGCCAAAAATAATAATAAAAAACCATTGTTTAAGGTGGTCTCTGGGAGCTGGACATTAGGACACCAGGAAATAAACTGAGATTGCAGCCTTATTGCTGCACACTGTCCTGATTACAAGAAGACTCAAATATATTAAAAATTGTTATACTGCATGTGAGATAAAAGAGAGAAAATAGCATCTTTACTACTTCAATAATAATAAGAATGTAGGCTCCAAAAACTGTCCTCTGTTGTCTTGGTAAAAAATCATGCTTTCATAGTTTTTCTGAGACAGCTTCACTGGGTTCCCCTGGGCTTTCACTCTCATATGCAATTCTAATGACCTGTAAGAACTGCATCTATTACATTCTTATAACAGGAGCCATGACTGAGGCATACTGATTGAATTTCTTCCCCTTTCAGCAGATTACAAAGATTATTAGTTTCTTGGAATTATATTAAGGGAGGTTAGAAATAGCTTTCTTCAGTCAGTCAGAACACAAATCTAATCTTTAACTTTCACCATTAAAAAAAAATCTGCTCTGCAATCATCCAAACCAGAAACCCAGTGGTGTGGACACTTAGCCCTGTTGTCAACTTGGTCCTACTTTTTCATGGTCCTTTATAACACATTCAAAAACCAACAATGTACATCAAATAGCAATAGACAGCATTGAAAATTCCAAATCTTAATTCTGATTTGAAATCAAATCTTAATTTGATTGGTTTTATTTTAATAAATCTTCTGATTTTAATTAAAATATTTTTAAATTCTGATTTTAGACATGTGGAGATGCAACCTGTCCACAAAAAAAAAAAGTGAATCCAGCTTTCAGGTATCTGCAGCCCTCATGTTGTAGTGGCATCCTGGGAAACTGAATATAGCCATGATATTTTATGGAAAATCCCTTCCTAGGATTTTTCCCCTCCTGAGAGCTGAGGGCCTCAGGAAAGACATGTAAACAATAACTATCTGCTGCTGTGGAATGCAACAGGTGCATCTTCCATTGGTCCACGTGGATTGTTTTCAATTGATGACCAATCACAGCCACCCGTGCCAAGGCTGTGAGCAGTCACAGGATTTTGTTATGTATTCTATTCTATTCTGGTCTTTGCAGCCTTCTGATCATTCTTCTCTCTCTGTTCTTTTAGTATAGTTTTAATGTAGTATTTTAGTATGTTATATAACATAATAAATCAGCCTTCTGAGAAAAATGGAGTCAAGCCTTGTGTCCCCACACCGCAACAAACTGAACAGGGAAGGATGGAGTAATTTAAAGGGCAGAAAGTGATCTTGTTTATCATTCCTAGATGAATGTTGAGTGAAATGGGCTCTCTGAAATGAGATAGGACAGGGACAACAAAGCTGAGGCAGCAGACAACTTGAGCAGCACCGAAGTGCAGCTGCACTGCTGAGAACCTGCATTCTGACTCACCACTCTTGCCTCATGAATGAAGGGGGTTGTGAGCATACTGTGATAATGCTTGCCAGCCTGGGGACTTAAACAGAAAAAAAAACCCAGAGAGAAACTCTTTGGAAAAAAAAGTTATAAAAGTCTGTGTTTTGATCCCACTGCACTGATGAAAATGTGAGAGAAATGAGAGCAACTAGTACTGAAAGAAAAAGAGATCGTGTAGTAAAGGAATTAATACAGATTGGAGCCCTAGAACTATTTATCATCATTTTAAAGATATCTGTATTTAAACCATGAAGCACAATTTGCATTTCTAAAAGGGAAGATCTGTTTTTTCTCTGTGTGGCACTATTGACTGAATCCCTACACGCCATCTGCAGTCTTTGAGAACAGGTCCAAAAGGACAGAAAAAACATAATTTGTTAGCCAGTGAATTAAACCAGCTGTAGAGATAATTTAATCAGTTGTCTTGAAAATAGATAATGATGAGGCACACTCCATTTCATGCTCACATGGACACAAATACAATGCAGCACTACCAAGTGCATGTACTCAGTATGTTTATGTTTAGTGCAATGCATATATACATGCACAATTTGTCCCAGCTCTCATAAATAATGCAGCAGCCTAGCACTTCTTTAAGTCAGAGTAACAAAAAGGGTATCTCAAATCAGGGAGATGATAATTTTTAGTAAGCAATTCCAGGCCCAGTTGAAAGAGTAGGCACTTCAAGAGTAGGAAAAGAAATGGAATAAACAGAAAACTACAAAAAAGGGGGAGGAGACTGGCAGAGAGAGCTCAGCAGAAATCAAGGGTCTCCCTGAGTCAGGAGAAGATATTGCAGACAACCTTCTGGGCAGAAGGGCAAGAAGCCCCAAGAAAATGGAGACTAAACAGGAAGTAGAGGAGATGGACATGGCTATGGGCTTCAGGTAAACAAGAACCTCTGTACATGACTGCATACAGGAGCATTCAAGAGGGAGGCAACATAATGAGGTGGAAAAGTAAGGCAAGAACAACTTTAAGCTAACTAACTGCATGAACTCAGGGCAGGAGGGCATAAATTTCCAGAAAATGGTTTCTAATCAGCAGCTTTCTCTGATCAGAGGTGCAAAGAAACCTTGAATGATCTGGATTGGAAGGGACTCTGAAGATCATCTAGTTCCAACCCCCCTGCCATGGGTAGGGACACCTTCCACTAGACCTGATTCATTCTACTACGGGGCTTTATCAGCTTCATCTTTATCCTCCAAATGCAAAGGCCTGGAGCACAGCTGATGACTGAGGATGTCCCTGTGCAGTGCAGCTATTGATGCACACTTCCTGCTGCTCTAGAGGCAACATTAAATATCATCTGCAACCATATTTAAATATCATTTGGAACCACACGCTGTGAACATAACTGTTGTGAATGAAACATTACATGATGGTATCAGAACTGTCAAATTTACCATCTTCATTGTGCCACAAAGGAACCAACACAAAGATGTTGGCTCAGTTGCACTTGCCATCCTTTATATATCAAGGAGGAGCAGAATTGAACACAGTCAACTGTGAAAGGCAGTCCTAAATGCCTCTTACTGAATGAAGAAGATGATAAGATAATGCATGAAAGATGATGAGTGCAGGTTGCTGACAGGGTGAAATGCTGTAACAGTGCTGTAAAAGACAAAATTTAAGATATGAGAATATAATATTACAAGATTCCTCCAAGCAACCTGACCAGATTTCAGTGTTGACCTGACTTTGAGCAGGTGAGGACTAGGGACCATCCAAGATCTCTTCCCTCCTGAATGGTTCTGAGCTTAACTATGTAGTCAGACTGCAGAGTGGCTACAGACACACAGACACACTTCTGGATCCCATATGGTGGCAAAACACAAGGTGTATGCCAGCCTTCCTCCTCTTCATCCTCTACCCTAGAAGCAGCCTGGGTACATGAGCCTGAAGGGAAGGGCACTGTCTACTTCAGCTGGCTGCAGCCCCTGAGGTGCCAAATCTTGGACTCTGATGGTGAAAATGAGTAATGACACCAAGTTACACAGACTTGTCAGTGCCCATCACTTCTTCTCACTCTCTAGTTTCCTCTGTCCCTTTTTTAATTAACACTCTACCTCTCTGCTGGCTCCATGAACAGAAAGCAGCTAGTGACCATCAGCTATTCCAGAAGCCACTCATAAAGTCAAAACCATCCTCAGAGAGACTCATAAATCACGTTCCATTTAGGCCTACAGGCACTGTTTCCTCCCACAGATCAGCAAACAACACCTCTGTCAAGTACACCCATTATTTGCAAATAAAATGACAACGGCTGAATACCTACTGCATCAGAGCTGGTCTTTCCAGCTCCACTGTGATAAGAACTAAATAAATACACCAAGTGGAACTCCCTGCCTCAGAGTACAGCTTACCTGGTGAACAAATAAAAAAAAAAGGTGTCCTGTTTTCATCAGTCTCACACACAAGGGATGGCATGCACTACACCATGAGAAAAGCTGCACCAGCCTATTTCCTATACCCCTGAATGTACACTGGAGTTATCCTGCCACTCCTAGGGAAAAATTCCCACAGTATCTTGGCTTTCCATTATCATGAAACTTGAAGTGACCTGGAAATGAACCAAGCTGATCATGTCCTACTGTGACACAATGACAGTATTACACTTTTCTTTGCTAAAATAAACAACACAAAGAAGTCAAGCACCCCAAATTCTTTAACAAAAATTAATTTCAGTGTCATAGTAGTTTCAGTTTTCAATTTCAGTCATTCAGAGAGAAGACTGCAATGGCTATGAAAAGGAACTACTACCACCTGTGTACTTAATAAATTGTTTATTATTTGTGGATGATTTTCTATGGCATCATATCACTTTCAGCAAGCTGTTGTTTTAAAATGCTGTTCTTGACTGTCCCATTCTTTGAGCTTTCACACACTTTGTTCTATGACATAAACAACTACAAAAAACCAATAGACTCCTCAGTTATGGCTTTTTTTCCCAGCAATACAAAGTGCCTTCAAGGGTAATGATTTGTCTCATACTCTTTTTAAGTGAAAAACAAAAAATTATAAATGATCAAACAACCTCCCCTAATTTTACTACAGCAGGAAAGGAAAAGGCACTAAAAAGCGCATTACCGGGAACTGCAATTTTCATTCTTTGCTACTATGTTGAACCAAGATTAAACAAAAATATTAGCACTTATCATCAAGAGGAGCTTTAACAATTATTTTAACATATTTTCAGCCGTAATATTACTCTATTTTTAATAATTTTAAAAAAATCTAGGCTTGCACTACTGTTTAATTAAAGTGTCCCACCCAAGAGAATTGACTTCACTATGAATTTCGAGACATTTACTTTAGCAGGTCTCTTGAAAATTTCTTTGTACTTTGTCTGGTTTATAAAATTACCAGTGAAATTTCAGTCCCTGCTAATGTCAGTTTAAATTACCTGATCTTTCAGGGTAATTTTAGAACAGTTTCTCCAGTCATAGGGAGTTTCTTGTATCACCAGTCTTTTAAAACGTGTAACCTACTGCTTTTTGTTTCCCAGAGCTCATAACATGATCAGACACCAGACTTACGACACCTAGACATGACTGTCCAGGATGTTTCATACTTAATTTTCTGCTGAGCCCTGTTAACATGTTGCAGATTTGCTCTAAGTATTCAAAACTACTAACAAAGTACTGGGCTCTGACATATTAAATAGTGCTTTAGATCAGGAAGGACCACTCAGTCATCAAATGCCCCAATCTCTTACACATCTCTCATTCTCATATCAGTATTTCTACATTAAGCCTAAAGATCTGAATTCAGCCAAAGCATTTCATAAGACAAGCCTGTGCACCACAGGCACCACAGGCAGAGAAGAAAGGCCACTATGTGAAGCCCTCCATTAGCAGGGAATTGATGAGACATGCTTGAATGATCTCTACAGTTAATGCTTGTCTGAGAGCCTGATATAGTCTCATTTCATAAAGACCTAAAAATCTTTTCCTGATTCTCTTCCTAAACATGCTTGACTTTACAATTAGCACTCCTGAACAGAAGTGCTTTTCCCAAAATACACTTACATTTATGCAGCACTTTTCATGCATAAAGTGTAACATCCCTACCACTTTTTCAGGGGAAAAAAAAATCTTTGAGCAGAAAATTATATTTATGAACAAGCAAGCTTTATATTTCTCCTAAAGGATGACAGTTTAAGGAGTGGGATAGTCAAATGTCAAGAAATGGAGGCCTGGATCATGACTTGAGCAAACTATTACAATTAACACTGCAGAATAAATTGCTTGTGTTGCATTTACAAATTGTATTGTATACATTACTTCTAGTTTGGCAGATAATGAGTTAGGAAGAATATGTGAAGATATTTTACTTACTGCCTTATCTCCCAAAGCTGTTTTGATACTAATCCGCACTTTGAAAGCATTCTGTGCATCTGCAAAAGAGAAAAATCAAACATATATTGGTAGTCACTCAAAATAGGATTTTATATCATTTACTTCTCTGATTATTTCTCAAATGTCAGTTTCTAAATGTGTCTTAAAAAGTCACACATTTAGGAGAAATGAAAAAGAGACCAACAGAGTCTCAACAAGGTTTACAATGACCTCTAAAAGTGCGACCAACTTCCATACTTAATTTGCAAATTCATAAAAGAAGTGAATGCTCAGCATTTCAATCTTCAAACTGAAGACAACCAGTTAAAAGAAAAATCTTAGAAGCTGGCAGCTTTGTAGTCTAAACTGATAGCTACTTTACCTAAAGAAAGATGGCAATCAGCTCCCAATCTTACCTGGCTTGCAGAGCTCAGCATGAGCAATGGCAGCTACAGAAATTATAAACAGCAAAGCCCGTAACATCCCGTCAGCATGGAAAGGCTGAAGCAAAAAGAAGTGAGTTTCCCCTGTAAAGCACTCTTAAACTTTGTGTGACCCAGGATTAAAGCATCAGGAGCACAAGTGAGCGACCAAGTAAAAGGTTTAATAATTAACCCCCGTTATTTTAGCTAAAAACAGGCACTAGAAACAACTGTCTTCTGTTAGTTATTTACTACCTTTCTCTGTAGTAAAAAAAACCCAAAAAAACAAAACCAACAAAACCAAAAAACTGCAACAACTATTTAATTTTATTTCTTCCTTTTTAGAAAAATACAACATTTTACAGAGTGTTCCATGCCACTTTTTTTTTTTTGTCATAGGCATAGTGTCAGACACACAAAGTGTCTGTGGGATGTCACACCAGAGCAGCTGGCAACTGCCACCCACAGCAGGCAAATCTGAAGCTTGGCTGCCACTAGATCCCAAAGGAAGCTGCCACCTGTCTTCCATAGGAAACCGTCTGGCCCCACTGAGGCTCCTTGAGGATATAGGAAGACTGGGCACCCTTTTCACCTCACCAAAAGAAATGTGTGATGAATAGAGAATACCTGGACCCAAAAAACAAGGCTCAGGCATTGCCTCCCACTTGCCCTTGAATTCACAGCCCTTGAGAAGGGCCAGCCTGATGGGCACAGTCCTGAGTCCCCCCATCCCCACGCCAGCCCCACTCCTGTGTCCTTGCTCAAGCCCAGCAGAGCAAATGCCTGGTTTTACACAAACACCCTGCATCTGAGACATTGCTTTGCATGAAAACTGTCATATGTAGGGAGAAATACTTTTTTCCTGTCAGAGGCTTACTGTGGTAGCAACTAGAATAAGCAGAGGTGCAATAAAAGACTGAGTAGGAAGCATGTTGAAAAGGAATGTGTTTGTGTTTTGCAGACATGACCCACTGTGTATACATGTACATACACATGTGAAAATATCTTAATGCACTCTGCACCATTAATCAAATGTTTACCAAGACAACTAAATAAACATGGAGGAAAAAAAATTTAGAAATTGAAATGTATTGCAGGTATTTGAACAGTGTCTGCAATCTAGGCAGCAAGACAGGATTATTTCATTATGCTGCTGGATTTCCCCTCTAGCCACTCTGATTAATGGCTAGGTCCCACCTTGAAGATCATTTCAGAATTACTTTCAGTTGGTCCTTTAGCACCAAGAAGTGTGTCTTGAGACTGCAAACACAAAGAGCTTCACACAAATGACAAACAGTAAGAAAATCTGACTTAACTGTGGGCTGAATTTATGAAAAACAATAACCAATATTTACTGCATTAGATACTCTGACTTTTGGGTAACAGAGAACTTACTGTTTCAGTAAATTAAACTGTTTTTAGAGGCCACTGTTAGCCCTTGACAGCCCATCTTTAAAAGTCATTCACCAAGCTGATTCCCAGGCACCTCTTTGCTCTCACTAGGCAACCCAGTCTGGGTACAAAACTATTGAATACATTATCTGCTTAGATGTTCAATTTATGCTTATGAAAACAAAAAAGTGATGAATTAATTTCTAATAACAGCTTAAATTAACATGCTGTATATATGCACATCAGAAAGTGCACTGAAAAATGTACAGATGGGTGAAGGACTATCAGGTTTCTGTAGCACTTGTAACTTAAAAAAATCTTAAAAGAATGTGAATGAAGTCAGTTTCATGGTAAATCCACGTGCATTGCTTTAACAGTGAACACATGAACTTTTTAGTACCTTTGGGGGAAACACTGAAGGACTGAAGAAGAGAGAAGAAAAGCCAAGCACTCTTTCCCTGCTGCCAGAAGGCAAATGGAGCTGGGTGTGATACACAGCATCACCACTTCTCCCTGCTGTAAAACACCACAAATCAGATCTTCCCCTCAGAATTGCATGAGGCCAGCGTCAAAGTACAGTGAAGGGACACGACACCCAGCAGGAACAAACTCAGAGGACATGACTGGGTTCCCTGATCAGAGCTGCTGAATTCCAGCCAGGATGGCTGATTTTCCCCAATTTGTCTTGCTGGCAAGAAGCAAGACAAATGATTTTTTCCCAGCAGAGAGGGGAGGAGGCCAGGAGAAGAAGCAGTGTGATAAACACCCCAGCTCAGAGCTCACAGAGCATCATGCAGGTGATATATACGTGCACAGCAACGTGGATGTATGCCAAATGCATCCAGCTCCAGGCCCATGTGCATATCCAATTGTACATGCACGGAGTGGTGCACATAAGCAACCAACTGCTACACATCTACAAATCTTTTCCCAAAGCCAGCACATTTTCTAAATAAGCCAGGTGGACATGCAAGACTACTCCAGGTGTTAGCAGGAAGATAACTTTGCTTCAAATTAATGGTATTTTTAAATATTGTCTTAAAAAGCACTGCCACTTTTCAGTTTACAAATGGAGTATATCTGTATAATCTAAAAAGACAGACAGACATTCTGTCACTTCGTATCTTTATAATAAATCTACATGCATGGATAACTTTCTGCCCAGCCTCTCTGCTTCCATTTTGGCCAGATACACAGCACTGTTTAAGCATGTCTGCATTTGTTTGCCACTGATTAATCAGTCAGGCATCAGTTTGCTTGAATAAATTACAATCTTCAAGCACATATGCAAGGTATGTTTTTAACTGGCTACTTTTTGAGGTGTTAGATTCCTAAGTAGTTCCTCTTTTAAAGTATCTTTATTTTTCCTAACTACTGTGGAGCTACAGGTCATAGTCATGAAGAATTTCATGCACGAGCTGCATTCCAGAAATATCACTGAACAAGTGCAAATAATTATTTCTCTTATTGTACCAAATGAATTTGTCTGCCTGGTTGAAAATAAGAGTATCTCTGTAATTTTTTTTCAGTACTTTAGATCTACAGAAGTTCATGTATAATCTGTATGTACATATTTAAAAATACATCATAATTTGGACTACTGAACAAATCAGGAGAAATTTGTTGATAAGTCAAGAAAGCATATGACTTGGTAAAACAAACAAACAAATCCCCTCAATCTTCTCCATGTGATTAAAAATGTACTTTTTCTGGTCCTTTCAATGTCTTTGAAATGGAAAATCCCAGGGAAGTAAAATATTGATAGCTATTGTATAAGTTAATTAACAACTATGGCTAAACTTAACCTCAGTTTTCAAATTTGACAAATTAACAGTTTTAAACTCTGAGGAAGTTAATCTTTAGTCTCAAACAGTTGTGTCCAATTCTGACGAGGAAAGAGTCGATGTGTGACTGTCAGCATTAGTCACTCATGGAAATGTACCTGGTGAGCTGCAGACCCAAACTGCAGTCAGGCACAGTGCTGTGCCATTCCCTGGGTGCAGTGGGAGTGACAAACACTGCACGTCTTTTCCAGAAGACATGGGGAAACAGGGTGTTGAATGAGGACTGCCACCACAGTCATCTCTGTAACAATGCAGAAGTGACTTGGCTGTCACCAAGTTTCTATCAGCGCTCACGGAAGCAGACAGTGTGTGAGAAATCATTTCACTCTCGAGACAGTAGTGCGGGTGGGGGAAGGATGCACTTGCCAGCATTCCCAAATATCACCTTGGAAAGGGCACTTTGCAGTGGAAAGCACCAAGGACAGCCCACAGCAGGGCTGGCACTGAGAGTGAGCAGACACTTCCAGCATGGAGGGTGTGGGAGGATGGTGCTGCTGCCACCACTTCATCATCACCTTTATTACACAAACATGACAAGAAGTGCCAATGAAAACTGACCCATCCCAAACCCACACTTCCTGGATGTCTCCCACTTAGCACGTATCTCCTGGACAAATCCAAGCTGGTGATTTGACTGCCATTTGACTGCCACTCGTATTCTCTTATTTCCATTTGCATCATCCAGGAAAAAAATAAAACACTGCCATTTGACTGCCACTCGTATTCTCTTATTCATTTGCATCATCCAGGAAAAAAACAAAACAGATGTACAATTCCATGACAAAAGGTGCCACTCTTCTCCTGGAGCATATGGCAAATATTACGGTGAGGACAACTTTTACATAATCTGTATGCTTATCAAATGTATCTTTCTTTTTTCCACAGAAGGCTGGGGCAGAACAAACACAACTTTTACATAATCTGTATGCTTATCAAATGTATCTTTCTTTTTCCCACAGAGGGCTGGGGCATAGAACAAACAGAGTGAACCCTTCTTATCTGCTTATGTCAGTCTACAACGGCAGAAAATACAAGAAATGGAAACCAGAAGAGCCACAGGGAAAGGAAGTTCAAATGTGTGCCAAAGAGAGTCACTGCACTTCAACACAGAGCTGCTCTACTGTGCATGCAGCTCTGTGCATGCACCTTGAAAGACACACAGAGATTTACAGTGCAAGGTGGGACACGCATGGCAGTTACTGCATGGTATGTAACACAAGGTTGTAAGATAAGAGCTTCTCTGTTCTGGGCTTTCTGTACAGCACAATCTGTGCATCCAGTACTGACCTTCTCATGAGAGGGTTCCTGTGGTACTGGACCATGAAGGAGTATTTTTCTTTAGAAAATATGGAAGAGTGAGTTCTAAAACCTGAAGGTTTTAGAAAACACAAAAATAAACTATGCTTGTGAAAGTCTGTGGTCTATAATTCCAGTGTAAGGAATAACAGCTACTGACTGGAATGCAGTATTACTTTGGATATGTGGATGGCTCTTGCCTGGAATTGCCATATCTTTTTCTTTTTTACACTCTATCAATTAAATTGTATGGAAGTCTGCATCTGGACTTGAAAACCAAGCTGCTATATGTGTATAAACTCATAAAAATAAACAAAATGGAGAAAAATGCAACTGTTGTATTCTTATTTTGAAGAGAATGACAGCTTTTTCCAGAAGCATTCTGGATATCTGTAATAGCTGTTATGTTTTGTGTTTTCTTCAAATGAGATTCTACTTTTAATTGCTGAAATATATAAACTTAAGATGATGCTTTCCCCAAGAACATTGGAAAAATGCCATGATGACATGTAGCATACCAAAAGAAAGGAATTATTGAATTTCTCAATTTAGACTCATAAATAGCTTCAAGGAAGGTTAATATTATGGCATTTCCTCTGTTGATGGAAGGATGAAAGTTATAATTTCTCAATGTAATAAGATTATGAAACACATTTGGTTGTTTTTTTCAAAACTTTCATGGGTGCCAATGGTTCATCCGTTGTTAAATGCCCAATACTGCCATCTTCTGTACCCAAGAAACAGCAAATTATGTGTTACTTTACATGTATGTTCTGCACAAGGAACAGTGGAAGTACTACTGATGACAACTCCTTCATTTTCAGTGAGTCTAGCTAGGATCTGGCACGGGGTTAAGTAACAGCAGAGAGGTCATGGTCTGAATATTCATTGGTCAAGTGGCAAGTGTAACTGCTGACTACAGCAGTCACATGCTTGCTTTGAATAACTTCACCGAGCTTCAGAGTAAGAAAGAGGATACTCATTATGCTGTTAATGAACAGCACAGTCAATTAGTCAGATTTTGACAGAGCCTGCTGTGGTGTGCTTCACCGTCAGCAGCTCCGGCTGTTTCTGCAGTCTACTACCTCCTGGATGCAAGCAATAAGCTCCTACACTGTGGTTTAGGAGAGTAATTTAGACCTTAATCAACAATGTACATTATTAATAGCTATGCAAAACATGCCCAAATGAAAGCTACAAGCACACTGCCTCTGAAGGCTGCAATCTATCACTCCTGTCACAGAGGAATTGATTACTGACAACTTGCATATTTCCACCCATCACACCCAAGAGAGTCTGTGTGGAAGAGTTTCCTGCCATGAAATGCGTTTATAATCAGGTCAGGTGCTATGCCTCAGAGACGCTGATGGGAATACATCAGCAGTGCGAGCTGAAGCGATCAATGCGCTGGAACTGCGACTTCCCCCAGCTCCGAGAGGCTGCGGGGCAGGGCAGCCAAGGGACATACCGAGAGCTCACCTCACCGCACTCCCTGCTGCCCTCGCGATTCCCAACACGGCCAAGGCAGCTCGCAGAGGCTGTGGGCAGGCAGGCACTGCTCGGGCCGTCACCCGGTACTGCCATGAGCACCCCAGGCAGGCCCAGCACCGCGGCACGGGCACCCAACAGCACTGAGGGTGCACAGAGGCACGGAAGGCTCAGGGAACTGGGCCTGCTCAGCCTCGAGGAGACCACGGAGAGGAGACCTCATCAATATATATTAATATTTAAAAGGTGGTGTCAGAGGATGGGTCCAGCGAGGGGCCATATTCTCGGTGGTGCCGGGCAGCAGGACAAGAAGCAACGGGCAGAAACCAATGCACAGGAAATTCCACCTGAACACGAGCAAGAACTGCTTTACAGCGTGCGACCCAGCACGGGACCAGCCTGCCCAGAGAGGGCGCAGTGTCCCTCACGGGGGGCACTCGGGAAGCGCCCGGGCACAGCCCTGCGCCCTGTGGCGGCGCGGTTCGAGCAGGGCGGCCACCGAGCGGGCCCGGGGGCGGCGGGGGCGCTGCCGGTGCCGTCCCCGTCCGGAACCGGGGCAGCGGGGCCGCCGGGCCCGCCCCAGGTGCGGCGGGACGGGACGGGACAGCACGGGACGGGACAGCGCAGCATGGCGCGCCCGGGAAAGCGGCGGCCCCGGGTGATGCGAGGAGCAGCGGAGGCCGCGGCGCGGCTGGGGCAGATCATCCACCGTGGTCACTCCCAACCTGACCCACTCTGTGGTTCCGTGACAACGGAACGTTCTCCGCACTCCCTCGCTTGCGGTCCTTGGGGGAGCTCGGTAAATCGGGCTCCCCGTTCCCCCCGTTCCGTGTCCCCGTTCTGTGCCCCCAGCGCCGCCCTCAGCCACGGCAGCCCGGCACGCGCCCGGCCCCGCGCGCGGCCGCCGGAACCGATTGCGCGCCCTTCCGCCGCGGGGTCACGTGACGTCCCGTCGGTACCGCAAGATGGCGGCGCCCATGTTGGTGCCCGAGCCCCCCCTGGGGAAGCCGAGGTGAGGCCGCGGCCGGGCCGGGGCTGAGACCCCCCGGGGCAAGGGGAGGGGCCCGCGGGTTCCTGCGGAGGGTCGCGGGCCCGTCCCGGCCGGGACCGCCCGAGCGCACGACGGCCGCGGCTGAGGGTGCCCGGCCGAGCCCCGTTGAGCCCCGGCGCGGAGGCTGCGGGCCGGGGCAGCCGCGCTCAGACGGGATTCCCCGGTCGGGGTCTGCAGGTGCTTGCCCAGGCCTTGCTCCGGTGCCGTGCGGCTGGAGGGAGAGCCGAACCCCAGCCCTGGAGCACCGCTGCTCCTTGCGCGTCTGCTGCGTGCCCACCTCCTCCTGTGCTGGCCTGGGGGAAGGGGAGTTCCTCCGTCCCTTCCTTCCTTGGGCTTCAAGAGAAAGAAGTTCCCAGGAACTGGGAAGGAGCTTCTCGCTTGTCAGCCCCAGGCACCTGCTGAGAGATGCGCTCCATTTCAGGCAGGGACACGAGGTGAGAAGCGGCCAGGCTGGCCGGGTCAGAGGCAGAGGGCCCCGTGGAGACACTGCTCTGTGGGACAAGCACCGTGGTGTCACCCTGGCACACACAGGTGGTGAGGATGTGAGCAGTGCTGAGCAGGATTGGAGATGTGGGGGAAGTTCTGGCTGGCTGAGTTACACTTGTGGAATCTTTTAAAATTACACACTCCAAAAGGGGAAGGTGTTAATCTCCCATCAGCATTTGGTGTGGCACAATGGCAAGAGCAGAAGATCATCCCTCCTTCCTATCTCTCCATTATCACCTGGCTAGGAAGAGGAAAGACAGAATGAAACTTGACAAAAAAGAGCTTGATGTGGAAAGGCTTTTGGACATTAGAGGCATTTTAACCATAGTGGAAACATGGTGCTGCCTGTAGGCAGCTGTTCAAAGCTGTCAGACAAGCAAAGGGTCTGGCCAAGCTTCTGTAGCAGAAGAGCAGTGCTGAGCATTGTCTGTGGGGGCTGTGGAGTGTGTTTTGTTAGCTGTGCATTGAGACTGCTGCCTGTGGAGAATATCAAAGGAGAAAAGAAAGGACTTGAAATTTCAAGTCCTGTAGAAGAAAGACTGGAATGTGCTGAAAGTTGTGCCAAAATTGTAGGGTAGGAGATCCCCAAGTTATTGTCCCCTATTTAGTGACCAACTTTCAGGAGCTGAAGGAGATTTCATGGAGTTGGTGATGATGTTGAGTACTGCAGAGCTCAAAAAAGATGAGACCCCACGTGTGGTGTCTTCTTGCTGCTGCCCATGTGCAAGTGTGAACAGCACAGCCACAGATTTGCAGATTTCATTGTCACATCAGATGCTGCTGTGGAGTTCCTGTTTCATATAAATACCTGTTAATTTTGCAGTTTGTGGGATTTTGTATTGCTGAAGGAAATTAAGTGCGTGTATGACAGTAAAAACTATTTGTTTAGCTGTTTTAACAGAAGTAATGTTCTCTCATCCTCAGCCATCAAAAGTACAGAGCTATTCTGAAGAAGGAGAAGAGGAAAAAAAAGCGGCAGGCACTTGCCAAACTAAGGGACTCAGGTAAGTGAAGTATTTGGTCCTGTCAGTGAAACTAGAAGTGATTGGGGTTTTTTTGTTGTTTTTTTTTTAAAGATATTATTTTGTGTATCTGTGTTGGCTGTAGCATGCAGTTATGTAGATGCATTGAGTTGTGCTTTTTTTCAGAAGCTGCAGAAAAAGATGAATCTGTGTCTGAGGAGGAAGAGGAGGAAGTGGAAGAAGAGGAGGAAGAAGAGGAAGAAAAAAAACTTGAGGCAGAAAGGTGAGAAATCTAGAAAATGGCATATATGCAATAAACACTTTTGTAATCAATTCCATTTTAGTGCTTTGAAAAGTTTGAATATATTCTGTGAAACACAATCTTTATTGAATATGCCAGGCTACACAGTCCTTTCCTCTAAAGCCTGAATGATTCCTATGGAAAATTCTCTTTAAAATAAGATAAGTTGCAGTTATTATTGTAGTAATAAATACAATATTGATTTGTATTTATGACAGTTGCATCAGTCATGGGTAGTCCTGAAGCTGGTGGTCTAAGTGGTGTCTGGTTTCTTTGGTAGACAAAAACTACATGAGCAGTGGTTGCTGAGAGAAGAAAAGGCCCAAGAAGAGTTCAAGCTAAAGAAAGAAAAAGAAGAGGCTGCAAGAAAACGTCAAGAGGAAGAAGAGGTATAAAGATGTAAAACCTTACAGTTGTGCTAGGCAACAGGGCAGCTTAGTGTAATATCTTCCATTATTTTGTGATGGGCCCATTTTTCTTGATGCTGGTGTGTTTGAAAGCAGAGACTCTCCATTCTTTTGTATAGAAAAGCAGAATTGACAAGAGAAGAAAACAACAGCTCTTAAAAGGGTTTTTTGTCAGATTTAGTTGCTTCTGACTAGATGAAAACTTAATGGTCAAGGAGTTGTAATGCAACATGGTGCTTTTGACTTTGATTGTAAAGCATTGTCCCTTCATTTATTTTTTCTGTTATAAAGAGGAAGATCAAAGAAGAATGGGAAGAGCAGCAGAGAAAAGAGAGAGAAGTGGCACAGCAGAAGCAACAGGAGAAGAGAGAGAGAGAGGTGATTCCTGGTGGTGGGAGGATATACATGTTCTGTGTCCTGTGACATGATCAGATGCAACAGTTATGCATGTTGAAAAGGGATTTTTGTATAAATAGCAAATGTGTTAGTTAACCCATTCTGTCTAAGCTCCTAAACCATTGTTCAGTGTTAAAGAGCATCCAGGGGGTCCATGTACTGAAGTGTAACTCCTGTTAACCCATCTGGTTGTTCACAGCATGTAATTGCTTATGTCAGGTCAATATGAAGGTGCTGTGCCAGTGCACTTTCTGCATCATGTGTTAAAGATAATCCTTCCTTAATGTCCCAGTTAAACACAGTCAGTGCTGAAGAAAATGCCCAAAGAGGATGTGGAATATGGAAGTACATTGCTGCTGTTCCTTAACACAGTTCTTAATCAAAAGATGTGTTACAGTTCTTCTTTACCTGACTCATCCAACAGGATGTATCTTTTTTCAGATCTCCTTGGGTGGAATAAAAATGACATTGAAGATACAAGTCATTGATAACATTTCTGTTAATGATACATTCATGTTAAGTTTTACAAGTTCAGTGACATGGATGTAAGATGTCCTATACAGTAATCCAGTGTGAGGACTGGCCTGTTATTGCCACTGAAGAGTGACTGCAGCTTTCTAGGATCTGGTCATTTTAGATTCTCCACAGTCACAAAGTTTCCAGTCATTTCACTGGGAGGTGTCTTGTGGCTGTGTCTGATAGCCAGAGCAGACAGTTGTGGCTGTCTGCAGGTAATAGTTGGTTGTGCCATTGATAATGTAACACTTGAATGAGGGATGCCAAAGAACAGCAGTTATTGTATTTCCTGTCTTACTTGCTCTGTTGTTCGGGTGTCCATTTCTGTCTTGGCAGAGTAGGGAGAGAAAGTTATGCTTGTGTCCTTTATTTAGGGTTGAAATACAGTTTGGAGAGAGTTGAACCATGATAACAGCAGGATTTTATTTCTCCCCTCTGTCCTTGTGTCTGGGTGTGCCCAAGCCCTCAGTGGGATAACTGGTGTCCCTGAACTAGATGAAAGCAGCTTCCTTTTTTATTGGTTGTTGGATTCTTTGCTTTGTGTTTTTCTGGGTTATTATTTACGGGGATAGTGAGTTAAATTGGCTCATAGAGGGCAATTACAGTCACCCAGAGGGAAACTGATTACCCAGCTAAAAGCAGAGCCACCCATTTTAGCAGCAGAAGTTGTTTAATTGGTTTTGCCTGCGTCTTGAAACAGCAGTTTCTTCAAGTTCTAACAGTGATGCAAGAAAAAAACTAATTTCCCTCCCTAAAATGAAGAAATTTGATGGGTAGTGGTGGTTAGAGGCTTTTTTTGAGAAGGTGAAGGATTAGTTTTGGCTTTGGTTTTTTTCGTTTGTGTGGTTCAGGAAGTTTTATTTGTTTGTTCTATTTCATTTTTCTTTATTAGGGTGGGTACTATCTGATATCCTTGGTGATCAGTACCAGATGCTGTCTGGGTCCTAATTTTTAATTGCATTTTAAAATTTTTATTTGCTCATTTAAAATTTAATTCATTCTCTTCCAGTTCTAGCATATTTTCTTGTACTGATTATGTTAAAATATCTTTTTTCTAGGAACTTCATAGAGCAATTTATTAGAAGTAGTGTCCAGCCAGTTTTGGAGAGTGGTATTGTTATGCTCAGCCCACTTAGAAAAACGAAGGGAAAGAGTATCCTCATTGCTTTCCTGTATTTGGAAGGCTAGATATGGTTAACTTACAATGTTTAAGTTTCTTACCAGTTACATCTCTTGCTGTAACAGAGGCTCACTAAGCATTATATTTTTCTGTGTTCCATAAAATGTGTAAGTTAAAACATTTCGTGCTACTAAATGGTTATGGACTTACCTGTAACCAGGCTGTGTAATAGAGCAGGAGATAGATTTAAGCATCAATAGTTCAATGATAGTTTTAAAAGAGAAAATTAAACTTTTATGTTGTCTATCATTTAGTTTAGAGATCATCTACGTGAGGGTCTTGTCTGGTGTATCCTTTAACAGCTTTGTGATACATTAATTGCTACAGAGCCAAAGTAAATCTCCTGTTTTTAAAGCAAACCCCATCACACTTTCATTTTGCATAATCACTGAGCATTGTAAATTAGGTTCTTAACTAAAGAAACCAGATGTTTTGTGTATCCTCAGGGTTTTCACTAGTCCTGTGTTTGCACCATTTATAGGCAGCTGTGCAGAGGATGCTGGATCAAGCTGAAAGCCAGGTATGCTCAGAGACTTTCTGCAGAAAGAACTGAAAAGTAATTTAATTTCCATCCGGTGTTTGCCTTCTAGCATGCTGTCCATCTGCTCTTGAGAACCTAATGGCCTGAATAAATTTAATATATAGTGGCTTGCATGAGCTGTAAACAATTATTTACTGGTGGAACATAATTAAGCATATTTCTGGCTGGTTGGTGGCAGTGCAGTTGTGCATGCTGATGACTGTTCAGGAGGTCTGAGTCAAAATGAACCTGGAAATACTGCTGTGTGCTGTTAAAAACCACTGTGCATGATGGCTTATTTGTGAATTGTAATTCTCAATAAATCTGTCAGTCCTGGCTGGCAAGATAAACTTGTTTTTTTAAGCAGATGTCAGGCTCTAAATAAGAGGATTCAGTGGTAGAGGAGGGCACAGATCCTTAAGGAAAAGAAAAAAAGGTGGGGGAGGGAGAAGCTTGACTGCTTGGATGCCTGGAAGAGCATGGATCTCAAGCTGGCAGTGTATAGAAAAGAAAGCTGCAGTTTTCTTAGACTCTTAGAGATTGCCTTAAAGAATAATTTGGATTTTTATCCCTGTCACATGGTTAAACTTGTGAAGATTCTTGTTCTGTTTAAACCACTACATGAATCTGAAAAATAAGTTTTAACCTATTTATCCATTGTTTATTGATTGCCATAGGTACATTGGAGTTACATTTGGTTCTAAATCATATTTAAACAGTTCTTTAGGTAGGGAATCTGTTTCATAAGATGGATAGGAAACTGCTCTGAACTGCTGCCTGCCCAGAGCTCAAGATGCATTAGCAGTGATGTCTGCAAAGGAACAGTCAGAAATGTGGTATGTTAGAGACTGCATTAGAGTATCAGTTCAGGGTTCATTTACTGCTGACATAACAGGGCTGTTCTGTGGACAGAAAATTATGGCTGCAAGTCATGAACAGAATTGGTAGCTGGGTCAAATACTGCTTGTGAATAAAAAGAATTTTCAGTTGATTTAAAATGAGAGCTTAGGCCAGTCAGCTTTACAGATTGTTTGGTTAGAATGACTTCAACCAAAACACATATTTTAAAATATGTGTCTTGGTTGTAGTCATTCAAGGCTTGCAACTTGGTGAGGCCATTTTGAATTACAGAAATCTTAATGACCCAAAATGATCAGTACAGACACGTTTATTCTCAGTGTTAACTGTGAATTTAATTTTTTAATTCTAGCCTTTGGCAGATTTCTTTTATTTTAGCCTTTTCTAGAAGCACATAAAAGTGATAATGATGAGCTTGCTGAGCTTTGGGCTGTTGCAGAGAAAAATAAGTAAATAGTCCCAGCTTTCTCTCTGCCATGTTGTGGTGGTTTTGGCTGGGGTAGAGTTAATTTTTTTCATGGTTGTTTTAGCTGGAGTAGAGTTATTTTTTTCATGGTTGTTTTGGCTGGGGTAGAGTTATTTTTTTTCATGGTAGCTAGTATCGGGCTTTGTTTTGGATTTATACTTAAAATAGGGTTGAAAATGTGGAGATGTTTTTGTTATTGCTGAGCAAGGCCTACACACACCCAAGGTCTGCCTTTTCTGCCAAGGTCTTTTCTGCTTCTCATACTGCCACACTGGTGAAGAGGCAGAGGGTGCATGGTTGGTTGGGAGGAGACAGCCAGGACAGGTGACCCCAACTGAGCAAAGGGATATTCCAGACCATCTGACATCATGCCCAGTGTATAAAGTGGGGGGAAGAAGGAGGAAGGGGGGACATTTGGTGTGATGGTGTTTGTCTTCCCACATCCCTGTCATATGTGGTGGGGACCTGCTTTCCTGGAGATGGCTGAACACCTGCCTGCCCCTGGGAAGCAGTGAATGAATTCCTGGGTTTGCTTTGTTTTTTTGCCTGGCTTTTGCTTTCCCTCTTAAACTGTCTTTATTTCAATGCATGGGTTTTATATCTGTTACCCTTCCATTCTCTCCCTGATCCTGCCTGGGGCCGTGAGCAAGCGGCTCTCTGGAGCTTGGCTGCTGGCTGGGGTTAAACCATGACACAAGTGTATGAAGTGAGACCCAAGGCACAGGGCAGCTTTGAAAAACAATGCTTTAAATAGGTTTAGCTTGTCCTGTAGAAACATAGTGCTCATAACTGCACGTGAATTCAGTTGTTAAGTTTTATTTTTGACACTCTGTTTCTTTACTGTTTTCTAACTTCTGTCTACTTTAATGTTTCTTCCACAGCTGGAGAATGGTGTGAGTTGGCATAACCCAGAGCCCCCAGAGAATCTGGGAACAGAAAAGGATAGAGCAAATTGCCCATTTTACATTAAAACAGGTTCCTGCCGATTTGGAGACAGGTAATCCATTGAATATTTACCAGGATAGAAGTGTGTTGGGGAGATAAAACAGAGACAACTTTATTAGGTCATAAGCAAACTGAGGAAAAATTTCTGCATAGGACTGAGAGCAGAGCTTTGCCTGCTGGAATTGAGCTATTTATTGTTATGGCATATTACTGATGGTGCATTCTGGTTACATTGGTCAGACTGGAGTTTTCCTTAGCTGAGACTCATGCACAGATATATTCTGATAGAATGTGTATGGTCTGTTATTAGTACAGGTCTGATATGTCAGATGCTAGTTCTTTATATTTCCTAATTTGCATAAATTCAAATCCCAAATGGACTAAAGAAAGTAAGTTAGGTAAATCTGCACACTTGTTGTCAGGAAAGTTGTCAGGTAACTTCCAGAGCTCTCACTATTTAAATGTGTGATGCATTCAGTTGTGATTTTGGTACACTGACAGGGTGCTCCTGTCTCGAGAGGGGAAGTGTGGTAAAAGGGAAGCACAGAGAAGCTCATCAGGGTGATGAGAGATGAGCAGCACCTCTGTGGAAGTGGCTTTCAAGTCCAGACTCTGCTTTCAGAGAGGGGGATGGAAGGGGACTGTGGTAGATGAACAGCAAACTCAGGAGTAGGGTGGGAATGGTTGTTTGCAATTTAGTCAGGTGCCTCAGAATGTTTACCAGCTTTGACAAAGAAAAGACTTTCTCATGTGAAACAAATGACAAACTTGTTCCCAGAGGATGTAGAGGAAACCAGAAGTATGAATGAGTATACAGAGTATATGTTCATTGGCACCCAGGAACAATAATGACCCAAATGCAGCTTCTGGTTTGAAAATCTCGGGGGTTTTTTTTTGTGCTAAGGAGAAACAACAGCTTGGCAGGGAAGGACTCTGATATTTATTACATGAATCTTCATCAGGAACTTACGAGGTTATTTTACTAACTTGTATCACTGAAACATGTGCAGTCTAGCTATCGTAGTTTTCTCTATCCTGGGAGTAATTTGTTCCAGTGTGACGTATATTGTGGATAATTATAAGGTAATTCAACTATATGGAAGCTTCAAGTTTACATCTTTTTTTTTCTATTTTGAAATATGTGTGGAATTCCATAATAAAAATTTCACCAGCTATATCCCTGCAGACAGCATTTTTTTCAGATGTCTGGGTCTTTGTAGTCTTTGCAGTATTTTTGTTTTAGTGATCTTTAATGGAGATAACTTCCATGGATTATTTATGGATTGCATAAAACTCAGGTTTGCTTTGAACTTTGCATTTGAACTATGAATAGCCCTTGGAAAATAAATACTGAGAAACATCATATTCTGCCCTTCCTCTTTCACCCCTGTTGATCTCAGCTACCTCTTCCTTCTTTTTCTTCACATACCTGCTTCCTTCATAATCTGGTCATTTTAACATCTGGTGCTGTCTCTAAGTTGAAGGACTGGTACAGCTAGGGTAGGACTGGAAGGATGGGTTGAAAGAAGTTGTGATAGTTGTGACAGAGCCAGCATTATCAACAAATAACTATTGAATCTTGTCAAAGCTCACTATGTCCTGAACAAGCTGAAACTGGCTGAGTTTGCTACTACCAATTTCCCCAGTGATTCAAACCCTAACATTTTGCAGTAATACTGGATTCTTGGATGATTCATTTTCCTTGGAGTTCCTTTTGTTCTGTCATGTGAATATATCATTTTGTGTACAGACAATATTAGGTTAATTTAATATTTTCTGTTCTGTTATTGAAATTGAACAGCAAAAGGAGGCAGCTTCTAAAATGTAAAAAAACCAATAATCATCAAATTAATTTTTTCCTGGTTTAGTTTTGGGATTGGAGATTGGATTTTTTTGTTGTTGTTGTTTGCCTTTTGAAGTCTAAGGGGCCAACCAGACCGTGAGAGTCCATTTCTGATGGACTGGGTACAGAAAAACTTCCTAGCTGAAGTCTGAGTTGTAATTGTCCATTTTGAGACCTGGCCTCCCTGCAGTTCTTCTGTGCTGCCCAGTGACATAGAGACTAGACTAGTCTGGATGTTTTCCTGGTCATGTCATGAAAAAGAGAGAAATGTTGGAGAGTTCATGACCTAGTTGCTTGGGGATATATTGAATGGGAGTCATAAAGCACAGTGAAATAAAGATGGAGAACATGTGTTTCTGACTGAATCTAAAGGTGTCTAGGGGAGAACTGTATTTTCAGCATGTTATTGAGGCAGCCTGAATATGATGGATGGTGAGGGAGATCTAATACTTCTATGGCTGCCAAGAAGCTGCAGATTAAGATACGACTGATTTAGAAGAATCTCTTTTTTTGTTGGGGTTTTGGTTTTTGTAGGTTTTTTGGTTTGTGCATTTGTTTTTGTTGTTGTTTTTTCCTTTGTTTGTTTTGGTTTGGGGTTTTTCTGTTAAAAGTGGAAAAATACCAGACTTACACTCATCCAGGTGCAGGTCTAAATGTGCTGTTCTTCCCACATTCCCACTTTCTACTCCCATATGATGAAAACAACTTCAGTAAAAGTTGTTCAGTTTGCAAAAAGAAGAGCAGGGACTTGCTTTAAAATCTCTTTACAGAAAGACTGCTGACAATCTTTTAAGCCCTTCAGAAAATGAGAACACATTAACCCTTGTAGCCTAAAAGACATTACTTCAGCTCTCATTGTGACACTGCTATCCATTGCTTTTGTAGTTTTGCTTTCTTAAGCAAGAATGTGTTTGTTAATGGCCTTAAGGAAGCCTTAAGGTTATGTATAAATTCACTCTGAAATACGTGGTCTAGTAATCGAAATATCTTGATCTTCCACTAATGCATTTTCTTTTATAGTAACTGTAACTGAAAATAACAAATGTTTGAAGCTTCAGCAAGTGTATCTTCTGCTGAAAGTGCCAATGTTTCCACTTTCCTTTCTTCACTGCTCTGTCCAGGTGTTCTCGCAAGCATAACTACCCCACATCGAGCAAGACGCTGCTCGTGCGAGGGATGTTCATCACTTTTGGCATGGAGCAGTGCCGGAGAGACGACTACGACACAGATGCCAGTCTGGAGTACAGTGATGAGGAGACCTACCAGCAGTTCCTGGAGTTCTACGAGGATGTCCTCCCCGAGTTTCAGAATGTGGGGAAGGTGGTTCAGTTCAAGGTATGCATCTGAGTGCAGTTTATGAGCCTTACGAGCAATTCTGTCCAGCATGCCCCAGCTAAATCCTGTGGGCACTAGGGAGCTATGCTGTGTCCTTACAACAAACTCTGCATCTCTCATGGCAGCTGTAAACTTGTCACTGCTCTTACAGAGCACCATCTTACTCTGGGTGAATCTTCTCTCCCATTCCTCTGAAGTGTTACAAAAGCTTCTATACTGCACGTTATTCACACTACTCAACAGTCCACTTATCTCATATTCCTTTCTTTTCTTATCCTGTGCTAAGCCCCAGAGGGTCCATTAAGACTGTTAGACAATATAAATACATCTGAGCTACTGTGTTTGGGCTTAAGGAATGAAATAGTGGGGATATGAAATGCATTTGGAGTGTACACCCAACCAATGTCATTTCAGGACTGTCTGAATAAAATAAAATCAGATCACAATGAACTGAAAAGATAGCATATATTTCAGTAGGAAGAATTATAGAAAGGTAAGTTGCATAAATGGTCTTGAGATTTGTCATCCTTAATTTGTGCATTTGGTTTGTTCAGTGTTTTGTACTGATATTTTCCCATTTATATTGTTGTTTCTACGGGGATAAAGAGGGATCTGTAAATGGAGACCTCAGAGATTAATGATGTGTCCTAACAAAATATGCAGCTTGGGTAGTGCAGTCTCCTTGTATAAGAATCTATTGCAGCATCCCTTTCTGCTTGCCTTCCTGAGTGTTTTCCTGCAGTCACCAGGAGGCATAGAGTGCCTTTTCTTCTTTTGTGTTCATCTACTGACAGCTGCCTCAGGACTGAGATGGCATTAGCATTTCAAGCAAGAGGAAAGTAGGAGTGAGTTTTCAGTAGTTGTATAATGAGCTTTATAGGTAAGAAACCTTTACTTGTTTGAAGGAGTAAAGCATCCCCTCCATATTTTGACTCATGGAATAATAGCCAATTGTCCTCTACTAGAAAACAAAATGCAGATTCCCTGTGGAGCCTGGCTTGAAAAGCCTTATCAGCAAAGCCAGTCCTTGGCTTTGTACCATGGTTCTGTGCACGTGTGCTAAGCAGCACCTGCTTGGGTCCCTGTGACTATTAGTGTGGCATTCCTTGGCTTCTGAGGCAATTGTGCAACAGCAGGATGATTCTCTTGCACATATTTGCTGCATTAGAGATGCTTCAGAAAAACATGTTGGCTGCAGAGATCTTAACTGTGAGTGAGCTGAGACTCTGACCATTTAGAATCTGATTATACACACCCCTCTGTCAGCTGACTTACTTTTCCAGTGTAGCCCAAGGTTTTATTCTGGCTGTTTTTTCTGGGAAGCCGCTCCAGAATCTGGAAGATCTTCATAAAATACTACCTTAGATCACTAGGGTTCTTCTCCTACCCAAAAATGTCTATGGCAAAATCATTCTCACTTGTTCTTGTATTGACACTGTTTATCTCAAATAGTTTGACTCCTTATCCTGTAATACTTAATTATACAAGTGCTTGTTGTTGTGGCTGAAGCCCTTTGCTGATGCAGCATACAAAGAGGTATTCCCTGAGGGTCAGTCAGGGTTCAGGGATGAAAGGAGCCGCTAACTTGCTGTGGATATTGGAGGAGGCCTGCAGGCAACAGAGGCTGGAATCACAGTTTGTCCTGGAGAACTGGGTTCCACCTGCTTGGACCTGCCTTTTGGAATCTTTTGTAACTAGCAAGCTTTTTCAGAGTTAATTTTTGAGAGCTTTAGATCTACTTTGAATGCTAAATTATTACAAAAAAGGTTTTTCAGAACCATACAGTGAAAAAGCCATTTTAAAGGGATGCTGTGAAGATACATTGCTCAAGAGTTTCTTACTGTAGTGAATCCCTCATTTCCACATGAGGAAACTAATAATTGTTGTCAGAGCAGGATTTCGCTGTTGCACAGTAGGGTTGGCCCAGACAAGTGCAAGACAATGGAGTACAAGCTTTCTTGTGGACTAAGTTAAGCCAAGGTCCCAGAGTTAATCAAAGCATAATTTAAACATAAGCCAGAAAGGTTTTGGGTTGGCCCAGACAAGTGCAAGACAATGGAGTACAAGCTTTCTTGTGGACTAAGTGAAGCCAAGGTCCCAGAGTTAATTTAAATATAAGCCAGAAAGGTTTTCTTTTTCTTTTTTCGGTTAACACTTATTGTTTTGAAAAACATCATCTCTAAGCTGATATGGATGAACTGTCTTAAATGAGAATTGTACATCTCAGAATGTGTGAGCTGCTGTACAGCATAAACCTTCCATGCCCTGACTTCATGTTTCCATCCCCTCAGGTCAGTTGCAACTATGAGCCTCACCTGCGAGGAAATGTGTACGTCCAGTACCAGTCGTAAGTACTCACAGTCTTACCAAGGGTTAGAGCTGAACTCCAGAGCTGAATAATGAATAAGAAGTGTTTGTATCATCCATGCAGTTCATTCTCACACTGTAGTGGGAACCTAAAATTGGTAAGGGGTGTCTGAAATGATTGTGTGATGGTAATGCCATCTGTTGCTTTTACTTTTTAAAGGGAGAAGGACTGTCAGGCAGCTCTGGCTCTGTTCAGTGGACGATGGTATGCAGGCAGACAGCTTCACTGTGAATTCTGTCCTGTGACGAGGTGGAAAACTGCCATATGTGGTGAGTCTTGGAAAAGAGAATATGTGTTACTGAAATACTCACTTGTAGAAGTGAAAAAGAGGAATTAGGCTGTAGCTTTCAGATGTGCCTAATGCTATTTATTTCTGTTTGGAATATAAATGTGGTAACTTGCTTGTGTAGATCCAGGAAAGAAAGGGAGATTACACCATGTCACGTAAGTATCTGAATTGTTTTAGTGGATTTACTATGGTCTAGAAAAAAAGGTTTGAATTCTAGCTTTGGAAATAATAATCTTAAGGTGAAACTCCAGGAAGTACTAATTTATCTCTTGAGAAGCTACAGCAGTTTCTAGACTATCAACAGTTCTAAGCAGTAAATATAACATGTGACTTACCTAGATTTACCTTCTTACATTAAGGTAAATAAAACTTAATGAAATTAAATGTTAAGTTTGTTCTAAGCTAAAACCAAATCTTCATAGCTGTTAAAAAGCTAATTCCAAGAAAAGTACACAATGAAAATTAATTTTGTGTGAGTTAAATTGATAGGTGGTCAGATGCATGTTCTTCTGTTTGGAGAAGCAAAATTCAGTTTATTACATTTCTTCCAGTTGGTACATAATGAAGAAAGAGATTTAACAGGTCTGGTTCATAAAAAAGCAAACCCTGATCTGTTGCAGGCTTATTTGAAAGGCAGAAGTGTCCAAGAGGGAAACACTGCAACTTTCTTCACGTATTCAAAAATCCAAACAACGAGTTTTGGGAGGCCAACAGAGACATACGCATTTCTCCTGAACGGACTCATCAGTTGTCTAAGAACTCTGAGAGGAGAAACCGATCGAGCCATCGCGACGACTACTACAGCCGGTCCAGGAGAAGGGGCAGCCCGAGCCCAGAGCATTCCTACCGCAGAAATGGGGAATCCGAGAGGAAAAAGAGTCGCCGCAAAAACAAGAGGCGGCGCCGGTCGGGGAGGTCCAGGAGTCGAGAGAGGAGGAGGTCCCACAGCAGGGGCAGGAAGAGGAGAGGCCGCAGCCGGAGTCACAGTCGGACACGCAGCAGAAGCAGGAGCAGAAGCAGGAGCAGAAGCAGGAGCTCCTCTCGATCCAGGAGCAGGGGTAAAAAGAGATCAAGCAGCAGAGGAAAAAGTAGTGAAACTCCCAAAACAAAGTGAGAATTACTTTCAGAAATCCCTAATTGGTAAAAATAGAGCTGACAAAGAAATCTTCCCAATAGGGCACCAGATATATATGAATTTCAAATAAAGTGTTCTTGCACATTAAAATGTTTCTTCCTAATAAAGGAACGTAGTTTACTGAGTGTGAAACTTGAGAAAATGTAAAGTTTTAAGTTCTATAGAAGGTGTGAATGTGAAGTACTCTAGCTACTCTGTCCCTCTGAACTGCTGCAACACCTGGATGCACACTGAGTGCAAATAGAGAAGTGAAGCCTCTTTGGTATATGCTTATTTCTGTTATGTGTATGTTAAGTGTTTACTGTTCCTGTAAGGAGTTAGTACAGAATAGCCAGTGTGCAGTAAATTCACACCCCAGCACACTGCAGATCCAGGGCTGTGTAGATGATTGCCATTTGTGTTTTTCATCTGTTTATCAGAAATTGCTTTCTAGACAAAGAAAATATAATCGTTTTATGAGTTGGAGAAAAGGGATCTCAAAGACATCACTGTTTGATTGTACAGTACTTGCCCAGTAGGAGCTTTTTGGTCATGAGTGTTGGATTTTTCTCGGCCCTGACTGAGCTGCTGAGCTGATTGCTTGTAGGGATTGCAGGAGACTAAAACCAAGCAGAAAGTGCACAGAGAAACAATCAGTTTATTCAGTACCTTAATCCCCAAGTAAGACTGGAGACCATGCAACTGTAATCCTTGAGTGAGGTTAGAACTACTTTGCATACCTCTTGGTTGCACACAGTTTGTAGGTGAAAACGACCTGCCTGACTTGTGCAGGAGGGGTGGAAAGTGTCCATGGGGAACCAAAGATGTGACTGTGAAGGCTCAGTCAAGATGGCTGCAGAGCGGCTGAAGAAACTGAAGGGTTTATACATGAAAGACTATTTCATGGTTCTGGGAGAGCAGGACTTGACTTAGAGTCTTTTTAGGTTTATTTTACAAATAGTTTAAGACACCCTACTGCCTTGCTTTCCTACCACAAGGTGAAGAGTAGGGTACATAAAAATGAAATTATTGGGACAAAACCTCCTTGAAATGAAAGCTACATTAGTGAAGTACCTACAGTTAGATAAATCCTTACCAATATTTTTTCAGTTTTATTTAAAAGATTTGTGCTGTTAGATGTACTGTATTTCACATGGCTTATCTTCATGTTTTAACTTGGGCATCTCAGTGTCCTCAGACACCTAGAGAGAGCTTGTAGCAGCGAAGGTGCAGGTGCCCTAATGGTCTGTAGAGATACCTCCCTGTCTTTAGCCTCTCCAAAGAACTGGGCTCCTGCCTTCAGAGAACCACACCCCATGAGTTAGAAGCCTAAAGCAGGCATGAAGTGCTCCCAAATAGGAATTCATTACAACTCCCAGCAATGTAACATAAATTCCCTTAGATAATCTAGGTTTCCAACAGCATTCCTCACAGCAAGAATGTTTTTCTCCAGGATAGTTAAGATCAAGTGAACATTGCTTCAGCATATGCTATATATGTATATTTTTGCTTTTCTAAATGCATAGTGCACCTAGCATGCTGATTATACATTTTTCCTTCTTTTTTCATGTGTAACTTGTCCAGTATGGAGTAATACAACAAAAGTGATGTTCAGTTCAAACCCAACTTTCTTGACATATTGTCATAAATGTAGGCAGAGCTGTAGCTTAGTTAATTTGATTAAATGTTTTTGTTATTAACAGATGTAGGAATTGTAATTAATTAGCATAATTTTTGAAATAATAACTTTTTTAAAAGGCATATTTCAAAGGATAGACAGCACGAAGTTTTTAATTCCATTTGAGAAATTTGTTACTGCCAGTTTCTTACAATGTACCTTTTTCTCACCACACCTTAGAGACAAATTTTCCCTGAGGTTTCTATTTTTTTATAGATGCTCAGTTGTCTCACTGGGTCACTTGCACTGCATGTGGCAGACTGTTACATCCTCCATTCCCTGGGCTGCCCTGCTTCCCACAGCTCTGGTGGGAGAGCTGGCTTGTGCCCGTGTGGACACTCTGCACCCCGCGTCACGCGGGCAGATGTCACGGGGCATTATCCAGCAAAATCAGCTGTCCAGCTCAAAGAATGTGGAGTGGGTGGTGGCAACCTGGGACCAGTCAGGTGAAATAAGCAAACCAGGCCTCTATGGGATTAGAAACTAAGTGCCCAATAACAACCATGTGAGAATTCCACAAGTGATTAGGCTCCTTGTCCCCACAGTTTTGCAATAGGATTTGGGAAGCTGAGTGACTGTATTTAAAAAAAAATACAAAAAAAAAAAACCAAACAAACCAAACTTGCTCAGAAATGCATGTAAAAATTTAAATATACTTTATTTCTGCTACTACAATGGCTGAAGCTTCAGCTTGTTTTCTTGAGGTCTGGACCCAAACATGCTGGCTGTACCTGTACAGTGTAGGACTGGTAGCTGTGATTGCCCTGCACTTTCACGTGCCATCTGTTTGTTACACAGAATTTGAGTGCTGTAGATCTGACAGCTTGCATTTGTTAGCATGAAACCTGGGATTCCACCAGTTTTCTGACCTTGGAGTTTGTATTTTTCAGTATTGTTTCTCTGCTTCATAATCTTAAGTAGTGTTATATGCATGGTTTTGTGTTTCCTTATTATTATCTGAGTGAGACATTTTATTCTGGAGAGACAAACAGACTAGAAGTTTTTTAATGTTAAGTTTAATTATTTTCTTTCCCAAAGGGAAAAAGCCCAGAAGAACATGGAAAGGATTTAAGTTTGTAAGGAACAGCCTATTCCCACTGTGTGTTATTCCACATATTCCACAGAAAAGGACCTTATAAAGTGAATTAATATGGGCCAAGTTTTGTTTTGTCTTCAACAACTATTTAAAAGTAGCAGTATTTCAAAATACTTTTTTTCAGTTGTGAATTCTGCAGGGATCACGGAGGTGCTCTGGAGTACTTCTGGCATGTACAGAGGTTCAGGGTGGCAGTGCCAGGGCCTGCCACACGCCCTGCTTCAGTCCAGGATGGGGAGCAGCTGCTGCCCCTGCCCTTCAGAGGAGGAACAGCCCAGCCAGACAGCAGCACTGCTGGTTCAGCAGCACCAGGGGAACCCCTGTAGGCATGGGCACTGTTGCTGCCCAGCAGAATTAAGGCATGAGGGGACTGGGCTTGCCCCTTGCAGCAGAGTGTCTTCCCTCCAGCTGTAGCTGGTGGCCACTTCTGTGGGGTTTCATTCCCTGTCTACCTGTCCAGAGTAGCAAACCCCCGTCAGGGGTTGAGGAGGGGTGGCATGTGTCTGTGTGTTGAATGCAAGGCATTTCTTCTGGACACCCAACAAGGCCTTCCTCTCTGGCCCCAGCCCTTGTGTATAGGGCACGTTGTCCAAAATGCATCCCAAGTGACTCCTGTCCCACATTTATGCCCTGTGATGGCAGCATGGCCATTTTGCATCCAGTTTTGCATTAGCACGTTCAGTGTATTGGAAACTACAGTTTACCAGTGACATTCCTGTGCGCTAAATAACTTGGTTTTTTTTCTAAAGACATGCAAGAGCCTGCTAAAAAATGCTATTGCTTCCTGTCCTGGATCAGCACTTCTTACAAAACATGAAAGATGGAAGTTTATGACAGTTAATAACCTAACAGCTTAATTCACTTTCTTATCCAAAGAGTGCAGCTCATTTTGCTTTCACTGTAAGCTCGTAATTACAATGAACCCCAGTTCTTCCACGTACACTCCTGCTCAGCACTGATGTATCAGGTGAATTGAGTATCTGTGGCTGAAAACCAAAACTGATGTGACATGGACAGGTAACACTTTGTCGAGCTGTGGGACAGACTGCAAAGCAAGCTGGACAACCGTAACCCATGGCATGTGGGAACATGACAGAGGCAGCCACAGGGTGACCATCCCTGTGGCCTTACCCCAAAAGAACAGCAGATGTTTGGGAAGGCCTCTTCGAGTTCAAGACTTAAGTCAGTGAAGTTGAAGACACTCAAGACAACAATCAACTTGCCTGAACAATCCAGAAATTCCTACTTGTTCTTTAGCTCTCCCCAACCCTTCCGCACAAGACAGGAAATTCAAAAATGAGAATTTCATTTCAAATTATTTTCAGAAATCCTTGAAGATGTTAATTTTTCCCCATGCTTTTGCTGATAACATCAAGCAGTTCAGTTCTTTTAGAAAGGTGGAGAACAGATTCATGTGACATATTTTTGATCGAGACCAGGATTGTAAACATTGCATTGACTTGCTCAGAATTCTATGAAAAGAACTGAATATTCAGTCTGTATTATCCAGAAATCTCTCTCAACATGTGGTTTAATTTTCAAATGAAGTGGTACTACCCCATCAATTTAACATCCACTTAAATAAATTTTATGTTTAATGTGACAGGCTTTCCAAAAACTTGCTAATTTATTGCTTTCTCTACAATTTAAATGGATGTAAATAACTAAACTTGGACACAGTATCCTCAACATTTTTTTAATGAAGTGCTCAAGAACAGGTTAAGCACTGTAATAAAATTTCCCTTTTTTTTAAGCCAGCACTGAGTGGCCTCTTCTTTCCTCTGTAAATACAGGCACTAATTACATATAAACACAGCAATGGTGTAAAAATGGACATTTATTACAACTAAACCAATGTGACAGACAGAGGTCAAACAGTTTGTCACAATCACAACGAAGCTTAATCCAGCCAAGCACATACAAATGACAGTGTAAACTTTAAAAACATGTTTAATACATATAAAATTGCTTCTGGTTTGACTTAAATCCATTTTACCACTACAATCTCACACACAGGGTCCTTTTGCTACCCCTCTACCCTCATCTACCCCTGCCCACTGTGCACTGGGGAAACGCCCCGGGACAAGAACAGTCTCTGGTCATCTGGAATCTGTGTAAATCCTGGAATGGGCATCCGTAGACAAGTTCTAATGGCTTGAGTTCACAGCAGCACGCTGGTACTGCCACAGGAGTGGCACACCCAGCCTGGGCCTGCCTGGCTGCTCTACTGGCTCAAGTATTGATCAAGTATTGGTCTGGATCAGGGGCCTTGGAAGTGGCACCGCTGCACTTTTCCTTGGGCTGGTACTACTGAACCCACTCTCCAGCTGGCCACACAAGTGCTGCTGCTGAAGCTAAGCTTTGTGAAAACATGGCACCACTCAGGTGAACAAGCCAAAACTCCTAGGGGAAGGTGTCTGGGTGGAGAGGGAGGAGACAAGCCCCCCTCCATGGGGACAGGCAACAGAACTTGGCTACTCCCAGGTGTAGACTCCGACTGTCTCCCTCAAAATCACACATGGATCACATTTCTGCTAGTGAAACAGGCTCGGTCTGTAATTACTGAGAGTCTGCTCAAAGTGTCAAAATATTACTGGATATCAGTTTACATGATTTATAGTGAATATACTATACAAATCTAATGTTTAAGAGCTCTCACTGCAAATTAGTTGGTTGAACTACGTCACGCAGGAGTATTGTAAGGGATGTGTCACATGTCTAATGTGTTGATCAAGTGATCAAGAAAAGCAGTTCAATGATTTTGACACTTAGTGTGTCCTAAAGGTACCTATACACCCAATAAAGCATAACTATAAAACGCCAAAAAATACAAATTAATTGGTAGACTTCAAAAGAAAATAATAAAAGGTCCCTTTTGTAAAGCTTCTTCTTTCCAATCTTTGAAAGTATTCTGTTTTCATTATGCATCTCTATTCAGTTAGAAAGCTGAGCACATTTTCTTGTACTCATGGTCAAAGCAAGCTAATATCAGAACTAAAAACAGTCTCCTTATTCAGTCTGGGCTGGTTTTTCTTCTCTCCTACATGCATTCCCTTTTGAGTATAGTAACTTGCACAGTTTTGCTTAAGGTAGCTACACTAAAATACACTTTCAGGTCTAGTGAGTTGATCAGTTTTCTTAAAAAAGCAGCTATCACCTTAACAGTTTTTTACCAGTTTGATATGCAGATCCTGGCAGGATTCTTTGGTATAATGACAAATTCAGTGGTAAACAGACATTTCCAATCTTTATGCAACAACTGAAATAAGCAGAATAATCACAAGTGGTGACTAAAATGTAGATGAACAAATTCTTTGGTTGCATAAACACAATTTCTACACCATAATATTTCATATTTGGAGTTGTCCATGTAGCTTCTTTTCATTTAGGTAGGCTATGCTTATGTCATAATAATACATTTATTTCCTGAAGTCAAGTTTGCTTATAAAAAACAGTAGACTTATTGAAGTCAAACGCAATTTTCCTATAAATGCAGTGAAGGGAAACACTGAGTCAATTTAAATCTAATTCCCTTTCATTTATAAATTTTGAACTTAGGTCTCTTGTTCCCTTTTAAAAAAAAAAGTATTTTTGTATTTTTCTTGTAGGCCTGAATGAAGCAGCTTAGCAAAACAGTAATACTGACAAACAGCATCTTACACCATTAGCTAAACATTACAATGAAGGCAGTGAACATTTACAGTATGAAACACTGAGATGGCATCAGCTGAAGAGAAGATTTATGTCAATCCAATTTCTTCAAGTACACTACGTGGGGTCTCTGCTTCCTACGGAGGGAAAATTTGAGACAGTAGTAAATGAACACTGTTTCTACTGAGCAGCTGTACATGAGTTAGTATGGAAGATGCTGAATTGAAAAAGAAAGCTGAAAAGACATGAAAACATGGAAGCACTGCAGTTTGCAAACATGGTATTAGCTGCACTTTTCACAGAGCTGTTAATTAGATTGCCATGGTTCACAAGAACAGCTGGTAGATTTTATTGCCCTTAAGCATAATAAAAATAAAACAATTTAGATCTACCAGCAGGGAACAAATCAAAAGCAAGTAACAGAGATAGGAACTGGGGAGGGATAGGGAAGGATCTTGCAATGGAGTCAGTGAATTTTGTGGTAAATTGTTTCAAGGGTCTCAAAAATCTGTTCGGGAATAACAAGTAAGTGGAAGAATGAAACTACAGATGCAACTAAGATACAGTATCCCTTAAGATCTTTATAAAGGAGTTTAGGTTTGTTTGTTTTTTTATACAGTGATCCCATGTTTAATTAAAAAAAGCAGGTCACGGAACCTTGGTATGCCTAGTGTCAGATTGATCCCTTTCAAAGAGGGAGGAGTTTTCAGGACAGGAATTTTATTTCACCACACCAGGCATGAAGTTTTAGGTAAATTCTAATCTTAGATTCAGAGAAAGTTGTTTAATACCAAATTCCAAAAAATTATAATCAGTTTTGTATTCATTACTTCAATAGCATCTGAAAAGAAATGGTTTAAACTAGAAACATTAGACTGAGCTCTTTAATACCTATTAACAATGCCATGATAAATAAAAGGGGATACTGTGTCCGTATCAAAACAAAAGCTTTAAATTAAGAGTATGAATAAACTTACTTTAGCATCCTAAAACAAGACATGTCATGCAGCAGGGAAAAAAGGCAGATAACAGTTAAGGCAGCCAACAAATTATTTCTCAATTGCTTTGCAAATATTTATTAGAAAAATAATGTCGGTAAAACACAAAATTAAACACCTCAAACCTTACAAATATCATCATGTTGTTAAAAACATCAGAATGTTGTCTCTGTCAGCCTTGACTATGTGGCACAAAATTATCAAGTTTACTATCATCATTTAGCTCATGTATAAGGTGATTCAGCAGTGAAGGAACAAGCTATGATACTTTAAGTCAACTTCATTCAAAAATAAGTCAGAGCTTGGAACAGGCATATTGAGATGGCTTCTAAAATCCAGCAGGAAATAAAAAATTGCAATAAAAAGGCAAGTCAAATCTGAAAACAAGATACTTGGTGTATTAAAGATGTAGTGCTGGCTTGGTTTTTTTTCCCTCACTGATGCAATATTTAAATATTCTGAGAACTGCAATGACCTGGACAAAGCCAGACAGGATGGCAGGATTAAAGATTTACACATTTATTTTAACAAATCCCCAAAAGGAGGCACTAAGTGAAGAAATGGCTATGTAGCATTTCTAATATAACTTTTTGAATTCTATTCCCAGATTAATTTGTTGTGTCCATTTTAGAAGACACACACCTCCCCTATCCACCAAGGTAAGGCACTTTATTCAAGAAATCCTATACTGTTAGCTAACTATGGCACCAGAACTCAAAAGCATTCTACAAGAATACAACTTCTCAAACATCTCAGGTTCTTCAAAATATTTGAAATAAATTCACTTTTTAATTTCAAATTGATTGGACAGCAGTGGGCACTTAAGAGTTACTCAGGAATGCAACAGGATATTTACAAAGTTATCTGAAAACAAAGTTCTTCATAGCTGTGAAGAAATACAGAGCACTGTTTTTAGAGCACTTCAGTATTGTTGTTTTCACTGCCATTTCGAAGTCTGAGATTATTTTCAGCAGGCATATACTTAAACACTACATTTCTTCAAGAAAATCAAGGTCTTTGGCTAACCATGAAAAGCAACCTATTTCAAGGACATTAGCTACTTACCCACAGATACATCAGCCATAGAACTAGACATATTTTAATTTTTTTTTATTACTAAAGCAGTAATCTTGAGACAGATGTGCCTTCCTCATGAACAATATAATCTCAAGGAACACCTAAAGGCTAATGTCTTTTGCTATAACTTCATTAATTATTACTTTTAAGAAACAAATAGAATGAATTATGTTTCATTCACATTATTTGTCTTACTAAGTGTCAAACATTCTATCCAATTCTTAGGTAAAACATTCTGCAGTGTTATATACTACCTGCAGCTCAGAATCACCCAAGGCAAACAACAAATGTGAAATATCAGAACACAGATGAGGAAAAAAGTCATTCACATGAGACAGAAGTGCATGCAATACTTTATTTCAAACATGCCAGAAAAGCTAATTCATTACCTAGTCATTTAGAAGCAAGCAGCTGTATACAGATAACAAGAAAAACAGCATCTCATTACAGCTCAATGCACAGCATTTTAAGCCAACAGGCATGAAATAATGCAGGCTAAAGCAGCATTAACCAGACATCCAAACACATTGTTAATGGCTTACAGAAAAAAGGCAAACTTGGAAATGGAAAACCACTTCTATGATCTTGTTTTCTAAGATTTCAGAATGCTGCAAATCCAATCCAAAATCTTTTGTCTAATCCTCTAAATCTCCCATTTTTTTGTCAGTTTAACATTTAGAAGGTAGTGCATTACCACATATAGTATAGGGAACTAGCTTGTTTGTGGTTCATTTTAGTAATTCCTCCTTGATAATTCATGGAAACAAATTTCAGAATCAGCACTGGTTTTAGGTTACAAACAGTATGCATTACATGCCCTCTCTGCCCACTTTTCAACTGAATGCACTTATAGTCACCCTCGTGGCAGTTCCCCCACACACAAGGCAGCCTGCATTTAAAACTGGAAATGCCAATTTAAGAAGGCATATTGCAAGTATACTGTTAATGGACTTAGATCTTTCCAACCATAACCATTAATGGTTGGACTCAATAGGCTAAGAGGTCTTTTCCAACCTTAATGATTCTATGATCCCATTATTCATTTGTCAAGCAATGATATTGTTCTCTCTTTCAGTGGCAGTAACTGCTAAATTACTCACAAGAGCGTTCTGCACATTTAAATATAAATGTTTGAATTTCAGATTTACCCATCATTCTCTTTGACCTAATCAATTCTGACCCCCTCCTTTCTGTAAGGTAGTCACACTATTGTGCCAGTCTTCAGAAAGGGATACTGTTATTTGCACCTTTAATTAAGATGCATGGTCTACAGAGAATTTCTGTGTGTATACACATTTCACACGATAGTTCTTCACTACTTCCTCTGTAAGTCTTAATTTAAGAATATTTTTAAATACCACCACAACCTATTTAAAAGATAAATGTGGGTTAAGTAATGTTACAATATAGGTATTGCAGTATATAGATGTTTAGCTTAGAAAATGCTATAGAACTTTTAAGCACAAGACTTCAAGCTTACAGACAATAAAAAAGTTAAACCATATGGCAACAAGCACAAGTTTTGTTGAAATGAGACATGTGAAGAGACAACACTGTAAAACAGAGGGGGAAGAGGAAAGTACAACAGCAGAGAATGGCTGTGGCATTCTATTAGATTCAGGATGACTGGATTCAGCAAGCTGATGATAATGTTCTGTCATGAGTAAGTCACAGGTCTATCTCCTCTGAAATTCTGCATGCATGATGAATGAAGCCATTTAGTACACTGGTACATTAAAGTATTCATGACGTGGCTACAAAAGAAATGTACATATTCTTATACATAATAGAAAGGTGGACAGATATGCAAGAAAACAAAAATACTACCTCACTATTGTATCTCTGATATTAAAAGGACATTTGATACAGAAATACAATACTGTATTTTTGACTACTCTAGATGTTCAGGAGCTGAGGGCAGTGGGGAGAATCTTTGTTTTACCCACCTCATACATGCATGCTTTGTCCAACAATAGACAGAAAAACTTTGTCTCATAAACACTTTATTACATAATCAGAGTTTCTTCTTAGCCAAAAAAAGTTTGAAGCTCCAGAGATGGGCCACCCTATCTATTACTTGTCTCAGCATCAGGCACAGACTGTTGGCTTCTGTCAGAGACAGGCACTGAGCTAAGTGGCATCTGACACCACCCACCACATCTGCTCTAATAAAACCCAGGTTTAGAGGTACCAGGCCTCCAGAAAATGGCCGTGAGCACACCACGCCAGGGCAGTCCAGCGGTGCCATTACTGGTGACAAAAATTCCTTTCTCTGACAGAGTCTGTTCAGAAAAATGGAGGCCTCTGATACACCTCTCAAAGCAGGCAAAGTTTTCACTGCTTTGGATTATGCTGAACTCAGTAACACTTTTATATGATTGGCATGAACATTAGTATTCAATTTGCTGGAAGATGAGCTACAAAGAAAGCAACACTCAATTTTAATAATGGAGTAACAATAATTTAGGAGCATCAGCCCCATATATGCCAAATTAACTTTTTCTGGGATGAAAACACACAAAACTCAATACTCTGCATGTCAGCTGCCATCTTTGATCCTGTACCAATTACCATCTTCAATCTATTTCAGTATCCCAATTCCCAGAATGACAGAAGTTTTAAAACAGAACTGAGAGAGACCCATGGACTTCTAAAACTGTCTCCTCTGTGCCATCTCAGTTTATTCGCATGTCCAAGCTTGCATGTTTTTAAATTATTTTCTCAAATTACAAAAAAAAAAAGCACAACAAAAATATTCCAGAAGCTGTAGAGTTTTTAAACTGTTTTTCAGTATCAGTAATCTGAAGATCATGTCACAGTAGTTTAAATTATCCTGACCAAGCTAACTACAAATCCAGTAGTTCACAAAATAATAGCACCTATATAACTGTGACAGTTACAAATAAGTTATATGATGCATGCTATAATTTTTAGATTCAAAAGAATTTGGTATATAATAAAGAATTACAAACATTAATTTCAACACTTAACACCTCTCACATGGCCCAAGTAAAAAGCATCAGTCTACATTAAAAACAAAATGCAGAGGCATATTCCTAACT